TATCTTGAGTAAAGGAGTTACTATGACCTACGTGAGTGTGGTATGAGGAGTTAGGGGGGGACATGTTAAGTAAATTACTGAAATTTACAGGAGGGGTTGTTAGCCCGGGGGAAATGGGGAGAATGTTGTCTGTTTGAGATTGTGCGAGGAGAGTGTTTTTATGTTCTGTATGTGGTATGAAATGACTTGAGCTATATGTCGCGCAAGAGGTACCACAAGTGGCTGTATCCCGAAAAAATTTTGATTCGGCTGGCATTGCGGTTCGCCACCGTTTCTAGTAATGTCTTGATGACACAGCTCGTTACTATGGCTAAATTCATACGGAATGGTTTTAACTTGGCGAGGGTTAGCCATATAAGAGTGCCAGTTGCTATGGCCTTTTCTAAATTTGGGGGTCATGTATACCAGCTGGCTTGGTAGAGCAGGATGCATAGAGTTTTCATTCTCAGCGTTTTTGCGAATAAAAGCCTGGGTCTTTAGGATAGGGTGAGGGGTGAAAAATCTTCCATTTCCACTTTCACTAATAGTTCTAGGATTAGGTGGTTGGGCAGTGCACCTAGCTCTTGGATAATAATTATTTGTGTGCATGTTCAGATGTTGGTCTGACCTGTTCTTAATATTATCAGTCTTACAACTTGGAGAGGCTTGGGGCACATCACATGACATTAAAGGAGTGAACCTGTTCATCGTAGTTGGAAAAGTCGGTGGGAATCGGGTTTGAATCCTACCTAATTTTTTACTTGAAACCCAAGATTTAATCAGGTCACTCTTCTTAGTTAAAGACGGAGAATGTTTTGGTCTCCTGGACGTGTTTTTCAAAAACACGTCAGTTTCTATCGTATTCTCTCGTGCAATATATTTTGTGGATGGATTCTTAATTTTATTAGTTTTAGCTGGAACAGTGTTGTTCTTTGGGACATTTTCAGTCAAGTTAACGTTCGAACAGCTGGGATTAGAACTGCAAGGGTCGTTCGATTTCTTGGTGACAGAGGGCATCTGTACTTTGTTAGAAGGTTTACAGTCCACAGGCTTATCAAGATCTACATCGTGGTTTACTTGTTTATTTACTTTCATGATATTAAAGGTAATTTTCTGTAGATTGTCTGCTGTCTCACTATTATGTGATCTAGTCGCCTCTCTTGTTTTTACACGACGTTGACTAGGCGTTAGATCCAGGGTAACCTTTACTTCTTTGTATAAGGTTGATGAGCTAATATTTTTGCTCAAACGGATAAATTGTTTGGCGTCGTTGCAGCAGCCGAATTTGAAAAGGAGAGGGCAAGTTGATTTGTCCGATTTTTTTCTGAGGCGAGTGACGTGACAGCTGACGTTTGTCATATCACACGCTTTCAGACAGGTATCCTTTAGCGAATTCAAGGATGTGTGGTCGGGGAGGTTATAAGCTATCGCATTGCAGGAAGACATTATTCTTTTCGTAACTTCCTCAGCTACAAAGCCTAGGATATATTCCGCTTTGGCTAATTCTTCTAGGTTCCTATCATTATTCGGGGCCCATAGGTGCATGAGGGGTGCTAACAGGTTAAGCTTATCGTTAATTTGGGCAAGTGAGTTTTGTAACTGTCGTATCTCGCTGCCATGGTTATTACTACTATTAACGGTTTCGGGTGGAGCATTCAACTCCTTGGTTTGTGAATTTCCTGATTTAGGCTTTACAAGATTATGGTGAAGTTTTTTCTGTGTAGAAGTTTCGCCATATTTGGGTATAGTATCTCTTATATCTACGAGTTTTACTATTGGAATACTTAGTGAAGGTTCATCTGACATAGGGTTTGCAGATTTTGATCTTTTGGGTGGTTTAGAAGTTGGAGACATTTCTCTTTTACTCGAATTATTTGTCATAATGGAAAATTGGGTGGGATAATTGCTTGTCTAAGTAACTCAAATATCTAAGGGTATAATTTATTGTGTATTAACTGTGTTAATACTAAAAATCAGTGGCGGATTTTTTAGATAAGAGGTTCAGTTATGAAGTGCAAGAGTCACTGTAAGTAGGCTTAAACTAGTGTATTCAGAAGTTAAAATCGTTATCAAACGACAAGTATGTATTAACTGATTAAAAACTTAGAAGCTTTGCTTTCTAGAAGCAAAGTGCACCAGGTACAATAGATAAATTCTACTAAATCAGTGTAATACCCTACGAATGATAAATTTCAGAAAAACACTATACCACGTGAAAAAAAGTTACCACTTTCAGAGTTCGCGCGGCGAGTTCTACTTTCACCAACCTAGTTTAAATCTCCACTAAATCCGTTTGGTTTCCTAGACCATAAACTTGCAGCAGTGTGATTCCAGGGATATATTGCAGTATCAGAAGCTTTTAATGAACCCAGTATCACGCTCAAGGAAAATTCCGAGATCAGAGCTTTAATTCTTCCTTTCTCTGTAAAAGATGACTGATTTACCACTGTGGTCAGTCTTTCCTCTCGGAACTGATATTGGATTTAGTTCTTTTACAGCTTCTCGTTTTCTCATACTGTCTACTACCTTTTTTCACGTGCTTCTTTTGCCCTATCCAATCATATATTGAGGCTTACAAACAGCTTTTAGTGGGTCACTTTTATGAACAGAACGCGATCAGCGTAACAGAAACATTGATTATTGCAATAAATTGTATCAGTGATTGTTTTACAGTAACTGTTTGTTTAGTTGCATAAAAACACACATCTTCCGTTCATTGTGGTCTTGAGCCTGTAGAATCCATTTTAGAAGGTTTTGTCGAGGAAAATCCCTCCATGTGTACATTTGTAATATGTCCTTACTGAATCTTTCAGTTCTACATTTTGGTAATCTGTTCAGTTCCATTTTGGAATGATAATATTTGTACTTTATTGTAGTTTCTATTTTTTGTGCCTTCACTGAGTTTCTGTTTCTTTCTGAACTGCATTATGCTGTTTAGGCTGATACCTAACTATGGCTACAGCCATATCGATTTTTTTCCACTGTCCGTTGGAGCACGGGCACGGACTGGAGCATTATTCTAGAACTGGAAACACTGTGTTATTATTGAAGGGATAACAGTTGTAATACTGTTTAGGTAATGATGTATATTTACATTTATGATTAATAATAGAACCGTTACTTACCCAGATCACTCTTTTTGGATTTAAAATGAGCAAGACTCGTACCTAAACTTCCTGAGCAGTTATTCATAAATCCAAACCTCAATTTGGATTCTATAAGCTTGCTGACGTACATTCAGTAGTGTCTTCTGTAAACTTTCGCACAACCTTGGTATTTCTTTTATACCACGAGATCGCCAACAAATTCATCTTAACTCCAATCACAACTGTGCTCCTGATATATGACTTGTGGAGGGTTTGAACTTGGCTTTTGGATTTATGTAGACCCAACTTCAAAGAGTATGTCCAAAACGCTTAGCACAGGTATATCATATATTTAACACCCAACTTTGTCTTGTTCTATCAAATCCAGCTGTATTCTAACCGCATCTTGCTACAGGATGATAAAAAGTGACTAGAATAAAAACTGACATATCAGATCACTTGATGAGGAATCTGAAATCTGACTAGACCCATTTTCGTCCTGTTTCTGTGGTGTCAACAGTAATCTCTGATAGTTTATTTTAAAAATGAAACAACCAACAATAACTCATTCAAATACTTTTCTGTAGCTTTTGGTGAACCAAAAATGTGTCACTGTCAAGAGGTTGATAGATTTATTTCGAAAGGAATGCAACACAACGAATGACATTCAGAAATGTATAAACTTACACCCAAAAAATATTGTGGGAAGTAACTTATATTGCTTGCAGGATGCATATTCCAGTTTCTTCGGTCTTCCAATCCATGATTATAAAAAGTAATGCTGCCCAAATATGAGAAACGTATATACATAATCCGAACGATGTGTGTCAAGAATAGACGAATGATGAAGTAATCGTCATGAACTGTGAACGTAGATGACAGTTGTATTACAGACCTGTTCACTCGGCAATTGATCAAGTGAAAACGAGGCGTGTCCGAGCAACAGCGTATTTGAGAGTAGTGATTGATATGTCACGCTAGATCAGAATGAAGCAGTGACGGAAGATCAAGGTTGAATTTAGACAACGATTTCCCAGACAGTAACAGTCACTGTAAAAATGGAGTTGAACTATGGAAAATGAGAAAAATAACCAGAGTTGTTTACAAAATAAGTCTATGCCAAACACCAAAAGTGTGTTCCACATGTTCAGAAGTGTAAATATTCGATCATCCGATTTAACTGTACATTGTTTTTTGAAAGTTTAAGGTAAACGATAAATAAATTTCCGTTATCCATCTCCACATGTTCCACAATGACCAAACACTTAACTTTTGCAGACTGAGGGATTAACTACCTTTAGAAATCACTCGTTAGGTGTTATCCGGTACTTCACGGACAAAAATTACACTATTTATTTCTGTCGTTGATGTATATAAAGCTGTTGTTGAATACTTTTTGTCAGAGTTAATCTGTTCTTGTTATTTTAGAAAAGGCATCTTGCATGAAAGCTTTGATTCGTTGCCTATAAATTTACAGAATTCTCTTAAGTGTATGGAAACTTTTGCACATTTTGTGTCTTATCGGATCATGTTGAAGTCTTTTTATGTTCTCTGAACTATGATGTAATAATTAACAGATTATTTGAGTTTTTATCAGTCAACCTGAACATCAAACTGTTTAAAAGTTACAAAACACAGATGTACATAACTCCATCCGTATGAGGAAATCACTAACCCAGGAAAGTATTTTGTTATTAAGCGCAGTTAACTGGCTCGAATAATGAGCTGTATTTTGGAAAGAATTTACTTTATTTGCGTGCGTAATGTTTGCACCCACATTCACTTGGTAAAAAGGTCATCATAATACTGATAATCTTACTGGTATATTTTGGAAATGATGTATTTAATACTTTAAAATGAGAACGTCTATAAGTTTTACTTGGGGTTACTTAGAAAGCAAAGTACCGTGTTGGACAATCCCAATTTTGTTAAGTTAGGCGATCCGGCAACGTTAGGCGCGTAGTCTAATATTCTTGGGCTTCGTGGAAATCCTGTTTTTCTCTGCAATTTGCAGGCCAAGGTTTGTCCACTTTTTGTCATATGCTTTGATATAGTCTCATACTATGTTCGAAACATAGTCTGGTTTTGCATGACACATTATTCAGATCTATTCCAAGCTGCAATCTACTAGGCTTACTGTTAATGGATCTAAATCTTGCACTCCTGGATATTTTGGAAATTAATTCACTCTTAGTATTTCTAAATTATCTTGCTTCTCACAAAACACCCTGTAGCCATGTGCTGCTTAGGCCTTTTCCTTGCACTCATACTTGTATTTATACTGATAGATGTCAGTGGTTTGAAATAAGATTCCTACGGGTCCCTTGACATTTGGTTGTTTGGTCTCATCACTGCATCCAGCGTATCGCCCTGAGACAGTTCGATTTAATTTGTGGATTTTATAACGCTGTAATGCTCTCAAAATGTTCACCGTATCTCCATACAGGAAGTAGATTAAACTTGCTACAGAGATTGTTTAATGATGAGTTCAGTTTGACTTATCGTTTTGAGTTACTCGAACACAAAGTATCCTCCAGTCTAATCTGCATGATTTTGATTACACAGAGATAAGAGTAAAATCCGGATATAAAACATAAGACTTCAAATGCCTATATTGATTGCGAGTTGTATGCAGGCTCGTCCGTAGTAATGTCATTATATGCTTCCTATTGCTAATTTTGCATAATCTGAATCGAAAAGTCTTCATTTGTGTCATTTGACGAGTGTAGGCTGATAAACCCGTCTAAAGTCTTAGTTTGGTTCCGTGGCGTTTCCGTCACGCTTAGACTGAGGACAAAGGATAATTCGGTCTTTGAACCTATCTGTTTAAAGCTAAATGACTCAGCCCCCAACATGTCATTCCACTGTTAAGTCTTATTCTACTTTTTGACTGGATTAATGTTTATCATGCTCATACGAGTTTAAACAATGTTGCTTCAAGATTGATTTGCATCGACACGAACTAGTGATAGGAAGTGAAGTAACCGAACGTGTAGACCGCTTCACTTATCTTGAGCGTCTCATTAGTGCTGATGGCCTCGTGACTGACGAAATCTCAGCACGGATACAGTACGCTCGATCGGATTTCGCCAACTTGCGTCACTTATGTTGTAGACGAGATATCCGTTTGCTAACCAAAGGTGTACTGTACACCAGTTCGCTCCGTCCTTGTACATGGATGCGAAACATGGCCGTGGTCATTGATCAGTTTGGATAGTCAACTCGGTGAATATTTAGGTGTGTGGTTTTTATGTCTCTGCAATCAGTATCAATAACTGTAGTACCACGCTCGTATGTATTAGCTAAACGTAATAAGAGTCCGTCAGGGACTGTTGGTGTTGTTTCAGATTATTAAGGAAAGGTATTTAAGCTCAAAGTAAATCTAGTTAAGACAAATCAGTTCATCACTTTTTAATGACTGATTGATCTTACCATTTAGTAATCCCATGATATTACTTGTTCATATACAGTCCAAGTGAATTGTAGGCTTTATGAACTGGTATGGTTACCCGTTAACCAGTTTTACTCTACCTTGTTTACGTTAATGAAACTTCTACATAAGTTTCCCAAATGTGACTTGTGCAAATGTTGTAAATAACCTAGAACGAGAAATAAGTAGTTACATTTGAACGTCTTTTAGTGTAGTGCATTATTCTGATTATTCGAGACATGAGTGGATTGGGTTTTCTTGGTTAGGATTCGGGTTGTCACAAATTTTCCTTGAATGTGAACCATTTTTATGATATCTAATCTAAATTCGTCGTCACTTATACCTTTCTCTTTTTAAATTTATCTCGCTGAATTATACTTCTTGAATGACATCCTCGAACCCTAATCTTGTACATAACCACTATGGGATCTGAACTGGCAGTTGCGTCTCTGTGCTAATGTGGTATGGCAATCTGAACCGATGTACGTACGTACGAAGTTCTACGTTGTAACTGACCCAAAATTTCGAAGTCATATTTTGAGCAACTAACAAAAAGCAGTAACTTTATAGGTAAATCTTATGACCATTTTTAGTTATGTGAAGCTTGATTGAAAAAATAAAAATCCACTTAAAAATGTATTTGCTCTCAACAAGGACCATATTTCAGTTTCAGCTAATTTACGAGGTGCAAGGGTTAGCAGAATCTAAAACAAAAACTTGGTTGGACACAATGTTGAATTAGTGATTATCTGAACCCAACAGATTGGTAGATAACATAATAGAAATTGAAATAAAAGGAACTAAGATCAAAAGTTAATGCGAATATTTTGTTTACTTAAGTATTATTAATAAATATACGCCACACAGCAGATTTGTGTCGGATCAGATACTACCCGGTTGCCTAAACCGAAGCAGGTAGATTTCTTGGGGAGCTACTTCCCGAGCCTTTGACCTAAAGGTCTAACCCACAAGGCAGTGGAGTAACTGGAGGGGTTACAGTCATTGTTGCCGGCCACTTATAGGTCCATACGCAACTAGCCCCCTCAGGATTCTGGCTCCCATGTACACCATTGGTTTGGAATCAGGATTTTCCAACCCAGCTAGGTGGATCCTCCATGTTCAATAATCTTCTCTAGTCTTTTATCAAAAGTTCACTGTATCCTCCCTCAATTTTTCACCGACTGTCGCTGCTACGTTGATGCGGTGGTCAGGTTTGCCTATTGTGATGACCCAACCGAGCTATATTGTCTGGAACATATGTTCCTGTGGGTCCTACCATGCCAGACAGGTGGATTGGATAACGGTGAGACCAAAAGCAGCAACTCGTCTGAGGGCATAGTGGTAAAACATGGTCTGAATATAAACAAGTGCTCCAGAATAAACGGCAGTCTTCAATCGAGCCTCTCCACTGATGACTTATAAAGAATTGATCTGGTTGGGTCCGTCTTCGGCTCGGCTTTGCGGGTCGCCAGATGTTCTTCCTTATGTTTAGTGTTTGCTAGAAATAGGCGATTATCTGAGCATAGCTGCATCATACGATCGTCATTATCTGTTCGATTAGCTGCAACACCATAAGATCCACTCAGGTATCTTTCCTTTTCACTTAGTCTATCTACTTGAGCATAGAAGTAACTAGCCACCATTACTATATCAGATCGCTTAGCTTTTTTAAGTTTATGGAGGTTTCTGTAAAACTCATGTTCTATCTCATCCGAACTGCAGTTAGTGGGAGCGTAGCAGAGACAGCAAAGAAGCAACGGCAAGTTTCTCTATCTTTCCGAGTCTGTACCGTCCCGTTTACCTGGATATCACCGTTTTTCCATCACTTTCTCACCTCTCTCAGCTGATGGTCTCCTGAAACTCCGTCCTAAACTACATATTGGAGCTTTTAATGTTCGAACATTGTGTCAAATAGGACAAAAAGCTTCCATAGCTTGTGCAATCGATGTATGTTGCTTCTCCGAAACGCGCATACGGGATGCCAAACACCAAAAGTGTGTTCCACATGTTCAGAAGTGTAAATATTCGATCATCCGATTTAACTGTACATTCTTTTTCGTAAGTTTAAGACAACTGACATTTTATTTGTATAGCGATTTCTTTTTCCTGGTTGTTTAGCTGGTGTTGCGAGAGTTAGAGTAGATAGTCCTTTTTTTACGCTCACTTTTAAATCTGAGGTCGTTAGGTATTTGTAATACTACTGTAAGGCATTCTAGACTCGTTTCATTATTTCTGTTTGCAGTCTGTTGATTCCTATTTTGAATGTAAGTGCATTGTAAGGGCTTACTGAGTAGCTGATTCACCTTTTTCTTTTGTTTTTTACTCGCGAATAACTTCACGAGCTACTTCACAGATACCCACAGCGCACCAAGTACCTCCTGGTTAAATGCAAACCAACCTTAGTTTAAAGATACAAGACTTATTGTCCTATTTTTTGAATAATCTACTGTCTAGTTTCGGACATAGTCCTGTATCTGTAGAACACAGTTGTCAAATGCTAACTATGAATTTTGATAACCCCACCTGTAAGCGATAGTTACTCATTTTGTGATGTGTCATCATAAAGGAGTTACAACTTCGTGCTTATCATCAACGAATTCGTTGTAAATGTGACACGCAACAGAGTTCTAGTTGTCATGATGTCCATTAATTTACGCTCCTGTAAATCCTTCGTTTTTTATCGTCATCCAAGTTATGCCATTTTTAACATTAGCTGCAACCGAACGTGCTTAGCTTGCCAAGCAATGTATCGTGTAAGATTCCTAAATGTATACGCTATTGTACGTACCAGTTTGACTAGTTGCTTAAAAAATAGTATGCGTTAGTTACGGGAGCGCCGCCGTTTTTCTAAAGGCAGGAAGTAGTAGAATGTATATCCATCTACTTTTTTATCTCTCCAAACTCCACAACACATTCAACTAATGCTAGTTGTTTGCTGACCAACGTATTCAGTGAAAATACATCTGTATAGTGAAAATATGGTAGCTCCCATACACCTACTATCATTCATTAGGTTCCCTTTATATGAATTTGACCAGAATCAAAGCATTAGTTAAGACCGAATGACATAAATATATTGTAATTTTTAGTTATAAGTAGATGGTGCGAATCCACGAAATTAATCGAATTCATGTTTATCTGCCTGAATGGATCTCCCTTTATCCAAAGACTTAACTGTTACAGTGCCTTGTGTTCTGTGAGTGATTTGTGATTTTAATGTAAAAAACATTGTGGTATTGTTACTGTTAGGCTATATGTTTTCTCATCTTGTTTATCCGTAATTGCCATCCATGTGGTACTCAGTTTGCCGCTAAGAAAAAGTAATGAATACCTTAGGATGGCAAGCTTTCAGGAGAAAACTTACAGTACATAAAATCAGAATTTATAGTTGTAAAGAGCAGACACACTAAAATTTTCGTTAGATTGCTACTTACGATCATGATTAATTGTTTGTTAAATACCAATATCAGAATAAAAATACTTACAACGCCCATGTATACGTCTATGGTGTGTCTATGGGTCTTGGAATACTTTTATTTACCTTTGTGTATCTATGACCTTCTATCACCATATTTTTCCTCCATTTAGAACTGTTGCGTCAATTCTTTCAAATGAACGACTAATATACAAACAATGCATATCAAATTTAAGTAGGTTGACCGCTTTTGTGTTCACTGCTTTTTAACCTGATACTTGAAAATTCATTACAAATGGTTTCATTATCTTTAGGTGCCTCCTGCCGAAAACACGTTTTATGTGCCGCCAGATTATCTTATTTATCTTGATCCTTCTAATTGTATTATTGTCAGTGCTACTATTAAGAAATATTTGGAGGTATCCAGAATTTTCAGCATACGAGCATTCCAACGTTGTGTGGCTATGGAAAAAAGTAGTTTTATCCCCAAATGTAAGTTTTGCTGCATTTTTTCGTGACTTGCTTTGGTGTGATTTGTATAATTTGTCACATAATCCCCTCACATTTTTTGAATTATTGTTAAATTTACTCATAATAGTAAAGTCATTTCGAAAAAACTATTACTGATGAGGTACCTAGGATGTGTTTGCAGTTTTAGAGTGTAGCTCTAGAAATCTTTGTGGTTTAAATAACGTGCATAAAGAATATTGCTCAAAACTGCTGAACTTCCTACTTCGACAGTGTCTGATTTTTAGTAATGTTCAGTCGTTCATGTGTTTGTGCCTTGCCTGTATGTACGTAGCTGCAGGCTAATTATGGGGAATAGTGTATGTATAAACATATGGAAGACAGGACAAAAAATATGCTCGAAACGATAATTTAATAATGAACGTTTTTCGCATGAATCATAGTTTCTACCAAGTTTTCGAATCGAGTCAGTTATGCTTCGACCGAACGTTGTAATGTATTTTCTTTTCCTCCTGCTAATATACTTTATAATGGTAAACATTTTCCTTAGTTTGCCAGTAACATTAGTTACTACTTTTATAACCTTTACAAGTAACTGGTTTAATGTCTCCTTGTATGTGTAGACTCATTCAGGTTTATTCATCTTTTCCAGGACTCTTTATGGTTAGAGCCAATTTATTTACAACATCCTAAAAATATAACTTTTGTTGTAAAAAAATCATCCAAAACTTCCGGTCCATTGTCTCACTTATCCCCATTCAGTTCAATTCGAAATCTACGACAGTATATTTCAAATATAAACATGTTGCAATATGTTAATAACGAAGACCTATATGGTAAATTACCATCAAGAAATAATTTTGATTCTATAAAATCCTCTCCTAAATACGTAATACTAGTACAAGTAAGTTGATAAATGATTGCCATTCAATAGAAGTTTTAATTTTTTTAAACTTCATTTATTCATACAAATATTTTCATATTGATGATACTCAGTTTAAATATGTATGTTTGAGTTGATGGTGAAGGTTTGCAAATCAAGCATAAATTGGGGATGTTACTTCCTTTGAACTGCACGATTTAATCGATTCTACTACTTAATGAAATGAGATAAACAACTACAAAGACAAAAATCAAACCACAGTACAATACAGTCAACACATGTATGGGTGATAATGGTACAATCAGTCAAGAGAACTAATAAGGTTTCGTGTGGACAAAACAAGATGTTAATCAGTTATGAATAGGTTTTGTAATCTCACCTTTTAGATCATGTACTGATGCTGTTATTTAGAAAGACACTAAACACTTCATGAATAAACCGTTCAGCTTAATGAACACACCCGACTGTAGCTGCTACCTTGACGCAGTGGTCGGGCTTGACCATCGTGATGACCCAACCGATCTATATTGGCTAGAACATATGTTACTGTAGGTTCTGCCATGCCAGACAGGTCTATTGCAGAACGATGAGACTAAAAGTGGCAACTCAAAGTTTGGGGTCGAAGTGGTACTGCTAAATTTAGAGGGGTGTGATATGACTAGGATGTTTCCATTGGACAACCAGCATCTATAGCGATGCTGCATTGTCATGAGGAAGGAAAGGGTTAGAAAAGGTCGACCCTAGAAATCTCACACCTCACCTTACCTTACGAATTTCCGTCTCCGGCGGTAAGCCCTTTTAAACAAGAGCTGGGCTAACACTTTAAAAAATTCCCATAAAAGGCCGCGCGTGACCGACCTCAAGCAATTGTCTCTTGAGTTCTGCAGTCACATTCTCAGGTCGCTAAGACCGACATTAATCTACATTCCTTTTCAGGTTCCTAAGGAAACTCCCTTTCATGCTGTGGGCAGCCGGGAAGTGACATCCACCCTCATACCCATGACGGCACACGAGGCCAAACTGACGACAGTCAAATCCTTCCTACACCCACTAACATCTCTCTTATCGCCATGACTAACCCTTTTAACATTCCTTTATCACCCGCAATTGCTAATGCGAGCGATTTGAGTTCACGAAACGTTATTCCTGGTCTCCTAAAAATCCATTCTGAACTACATATTGGATCTTTTAATGTCCGGAAATTGTCTCAACAAGGAAAACATGCTTTCTTAGCTGGGACTTTAGAATCTTGCGCCATCACTGTATACTGCGTCTCCGAAACGCGTATACAGGATCCGAACATAGTGATTAACCTGACTTCACTTTGCCCAGATGAAAAACCGACTAGTCCTACGCTCCGTGTTTCTGGAAGCGTTGATGCTGCTTTCCGGAGCCTCGCTGGTGTAGATATAGCATTGAGTCCTAGGGCGGACTAGCTCTCGTAGACTGGATCCCAGTAGATAATCACTTATGCACTGTCCGGCTAAACGCGACACTAAGAATTAGTTATGATAAGGACCCTCGACTTTGCCTCCTCGTTGTCTCTGCCTATGCTCTCACTGACTGCAGCTCAGATGAGGCAAAAGATGGACTTTACAGAAACCTCTCTAACCTTAAAAAAGTTAATCGCTCTGATATAGTAATAATGGCTGATGACTTCAATGCTCAAGTAAGTAGACTAGATGAAAAGGAAAGACACCTGTGTGGATCTTATGTTGTCGCGGCTGATCGAACAGATAATGGTGATCGTTTGCTGCAGCTATGTTCAGATAGCTGTCTGTTTCTAGCAAACACTAACTTTAGGCATAAGATAAAACATCTCCTAACCTGGCGAACCCCAAAACCGACCCAACACTGGACCCAATTAGATTATATCGCCATCAGCCACCGATGGAGGACTGTTGCTGGTTCTGGAGCACATGTTTAGGCTTAGGTCATGCTCTAGTGCGAGTGCGTATTTGTTTGCGACTTACTGGACGTAGGAAAGACATCGCAAGGAAACATTTTAGGGTTCGTCTTAATGATAGAAAAATGAAGAATATATTTCAGGAACAACTTGAGAAATAGTAAGGCGGTCATGTCAGTGATTCCCATCCGGAGTCAGCTTGGAATGATATCCAAAAAGCTGTACAAACAGAAGTGATATCCGCTAGCAAGGCAAACCATAAGGTTAAGGATTAGCCGTAGACCTCAGTAGCATCTGCCGGACTGATAGATGCTCGGAAACTCATCCCATCTGGCTCCAAACATGACGAAGATCGAATTCAGCTTAGGCGCAGGCTGAAAAGAAGCCTACACAATGATCATGAACAGTGGTAAGTGGCGAAAGCAAGAGCGATGGAAAAGGCAGCGATGATAAATAACAGCAGACAACTATTCAGACGTAACAAGGAGACCGGTGTTAGAAATCCATCTGTAAGCGAAACTATTTCAGAAAAGGATGGGCTGATTATTCATTCTCAATGCAGGATTTGGATTAATGGGCAGGACACTTTAGTAATCAGTTCAACTGGCCTTCAGCTATACTTTGGTTACCCACGATCTGCAGTCAACTTGAATGACAAATCGGTGTAAGTCCTCCGACTCTTTAAGAAGTTGGGAAAGCCAAAGGAAATCTGGTGCGAAGACGAGCTTCAGGGTCTGAAAGACTTACCCCTGAAGTTTTCGAGGATGCTGGCCCAGTTTTAGCAGTTGATTGACTGAGGTCTGAGGTAGAACCTGGGATCTGGACGTAATCCTATCTGATTGGTCTCAATCACCGATTGTCCTGAATTATAAAAGCAAAGGTCCTATTCTGACGTTCACAGAGGGATCAGTTTAACTAATATAGAATCTAAAATATAATACTCGGACGTCTAAATAGAGCTTGTGAAGAGCAGACTCGAAAAAACCAGGCTAGTTTTCGACCTGGACGTGAATGTATAGACCAGATATCCACACCACGTCAGGTTCTTGAACAAAGACACACGTTCATACGCCCCACAATAGTAGTATTTTTCAACCTTAAGCAGCATTTGACTCTGACGATCGTGAGGCTCTTTAGCAGTGTCTGTCATTGAATAGTGTACCAAGGAAGTACATTAACCTCATACCAGCTCTCTCGAACACCATTGGTTGAGTGAGAGCTTATGGCGAACTGTCATCGGAATTCTTTACTTCAAGTGGTGTCCGTCAGGGATGTCCACTCTCTCCATTCTTGTTTAATTTTGTCATAGACATGCTTCTAGATAGAGCATTTTCTTCGTCTGAACTTTCAGGATTAGGCCTTCTATCAGGAGATTCATTGGTTGACTTAGAATATGCCGATGACATAGTTCTACTTGAGGAAGACGCTGAAAACATGCAGTGTCTCCTGACTACCCTAAGCAACAATGAAAGCATGTTCGGAATGCGGTTTTCCCCCTCGAAATAAAAAATTTTGCTTCAAGATTGACTTGCATTGGCACCTGAAGTAGTGATAGGGAGTGAAGCAGTTGAGCGTGTTAACCGCTTCACTTATCTTGGGAGCCTCGTCGGTGCTGATGGCCTGGTGACTGACGAAATCTCAGCACAGATACAGAAGGCTCGACTGGCTTTTGCCAACTAGCTTCATTTATGTCTTAGGCGAGATATCCATTTGCTAACTAAAGGACGAGTCTACTGCGCAGCAGTTCGCAGTAAGCAATACTTTCGTTAGGAAACGATTTCTAGGTAGGGATGGCAAACCAATAGATGGAGTATTGAATCTTCATCAGTTGAGATGGTTGAGACCCGTGTTATGAATGCCCAACCACTGACTGCCTCGACGAGCGATGATGCCTGATGTAGAGGTAGGCTGTAAGAAAGCCAGCGGTGGCCAAACCATGAAACAAATCCATGAATTCACTGACTACTGGACTGAACCATGATTGTAGGTGTAGACTAACTGGTTGGTGTCCACGAGACAATAGTAACTGATGGTCAGAGACCTTGAATGACATAGAGCAAAATTGTTTGCACTGTCGCAGTTGCATCCACTCTTTATGCTCTCTCGAATTGTGATCTAAATTCCTCATCACCTCTCTCTTTCTCGTCTTACATTTATTTCACTAGATTCTACTTCTTCAATAATATCTTCAAACTCTAATATCTCCGATTACTGCTAATACGTTTACTGCCTATACTACTGTGGGATTTGAATTGACAGTCGCATCCCTGTGCTAATGCTGTATGGCAACCTGAACTTATGTACTTACATACGAATTTCTACGTTGTATAACTGACTTAGTAAACACAACACCTCTAAAATGGTTTGCATATAATGATTTTTTAAGTAGAAAACTCATACTCAGATAGACTGTTTTTTTTTATATATGTATGGTGAGATCTCATGCCTAGGAATAATGATCTCTAGTACATCATCACCCTATTTAATAATAATAATTCATATTACAGATGTGTGAGTATGAAACTGTGTAAATAACCGCCAGTTGCTCTTATGTAACAGTAATGTAGATAGCAAAACATATATTATAATAAGCTATAGTAGGAATTGAAACAAACAATCGAAGAAGTAAGTATTATTGCCAGCTATGGCTTACAATAATTGTAGATGTATGCTCATTAAATCAACATCTATTCAATAAGTTAGTTAGTTAGTTAGTTTGAGTGAAATTGTATTCACATAAAAATCAATGCATAAGTGTTCTAGTAGTTCAAACTGTCTGATCGTTCGTCATATTTTTTATTTTTCATTTCTATATATGATGATGAATATATTCATTCATTGATTGATTGATTACTCATTTAAGTGAAACGAAGCCCTCAAAGTTTTCCGATTGCGTGTGTGTGTGTGTGTGTGACTGTGACTGGTCTATCACTTATGTCAATATAACATAGATATGAATGTCTGTCTTATTGATTAGTATTTTTCTGTTTAAAGAAACCAGAATTCCGAGTTTAGACAAGTTCAAAGGCATATTCGATTATAGTAGTTGATTTTTTAACTTAGTTGGGACTAACTGCATAATTATTGATTATGCAACTTATTAAAATCGTTAAACCAATAGCTATTTATTTTAGGGTTTCAAATGATTTTCGTGATACTCTTTATGACCGGACAAATTGATTTTTGCGCCAAATAATAAGAATTACGATCTGGATTACATTTATATAGCTTCATTTACGGTGTATTAAGGACAGTGCTTGCTTTGCAAATCAGTCTCATATGTCTTTAACCTTTTAATTGCCTGTGTTACAATTTGGGCCGATACACAGTTAGTTGTCTTGTGGTCTTAGGTCGTTACAACTTGTGGTGTGTACTATTTATTATGCCAAGCTTATATGGCTTATTCTAGCTTTTGGACAAACTAGTTAATTTATTTTTCTCCATTCATCATGTGCACGACGTATTTTGACCTTGTTAATCACTGGCTTATAACTTTGATTGTTTATGTGTGTGTCCCCTTCATCTTATTCATCATGCCTTTAACTAATCGCTAATTCTAGTCGCTCCTCATCATATGAAGTTAGCATACTCGCGCCTTCTCTGATTTGTTTTTCTTTTCCACTTCTTGTCTTTATGTTTGCGTAAACAATTGCATGAAATAAACTCATTCAACTTCATCTGTACTTAATTTCTCATTAACGCCGTCATGGAAACAAGGTTTACTTAAGTGTCATTATACGGAAAAAAGTGGAAAGTTTATCTTTTCATGGCATATTTGATCGTTCAACCAGATTTCAGGTCACTAAAAGCTAATTGATATGATTTAAGTTTTATTAGTAAAAGGACATAAATTAATCGCATTTCTTTACGGAATCAACAATTGATTTGAAGTTAAAATGTCACTCAAGTTATTAATCCTGTTTGAAAGATGAATATCCATTCCCCTGTAGCTATACTGGATTTTTGGGACACCCGAGTGAGCAACGCTGTTATTAGGACACGGGTGCTAGGTAAGAATGGCAGATCAATAGATGAAGTAATGAAACTTCATCAGTTGAGGTGGTTAGGACATGTGCTGCGTATGCCCAACCACCGACTGCCTCGACGAGCTTCGTTTTGTAGTGTAAGAATAGGTTGGAAGAAAGCTAGGGGCGGCCAAACCAAAACATGGCAGAAATCTATGAAGTCATTGACGAGTGGACTTAGCCATGTTGGTAATTGTCGACTACCTGGTTGGGGTCCGCGAGATGATAATAATCGATGGTTAGAGACCTTGAATGATATGGCTCAAAATCGTTCGCAATGGCGCCGGTGCATTTATTCATTGTGTCCTCTCAAATCCTAATCTTCTGGATTCTTCAACCCCTCTAGCTTTTACTTTCTGAACTTATCTCACTGAATCATACTTCTTGAATAATATCTTCTAATCCTAACCTCTCCTATTACTTCTAATACCTTAACTACCTCTTCTACAATTGGATTTGAATTGACAATTACATCTCTGTGTTGATGTGGTATGGCGACATGAACTGATGTACTTACGTACGAAGTTCTACGTTGCATCTGACTGACTGACTGATACTCGATTTTATCTTTGTTTGATAAATTGAACTGTATCTTCATATATCTCTCTATGTGAATAGCCACTACTCGTTTGGCTAGAATTTTCAACGTTTTAGTTCACGGACTAGCACAATTTATTCTTTGGAAGTTCTCACAAACTGTGTAGTCAAAATGGATTGTAAGAGAGAAATATATGGAGATATAAAATAGTTATATTTTTACGTGTTGATCTTACGAGTGGCGGTTTCATTTTTATTCAATCAAACTAGTGTATAAATGTATCAATGTTTCTAGCATCTAGCTATTCGATTTTTTTTTTCTGTTCAGGTTCATAATAGATCCACAGAATTACGTCTGTTAATTGAATCATTACGACGTACAAAAGGAATTGAAACAGCTCTTCTTATTTTTTCACATGATTTCTATTCTGATGAACTGAATAGTCTTATCGGATCTATTCGTTTTACGCGTACTGTTCAAATTTTCTTTCCTCATTCACTGCAAATATTTCCAAAAACCTTTCCTGGTACTGATCCAAGAGATTGTGATAGTAGAATGAAACCTACTGAGTAAGTCGATTCATTTCAATTACCAATGTATTTCTTGTTAAAAATACAAAAATGCTTAATTATCTTTGTAAAGTTGTGTTGTTTGTTTTTATGACTTGATAAGTATGTAGTTAGCCCAAAACAGTGGTAATAGTGTCCAAAGTGGGTTGCGACTTTGAACCTTTTCCCTAATTAGTTGTCCACAAAGTGCTGATTGATATAGAGTTGGCTTTAACCCTTACACACAATATTTGTATGTGTTCTGGTGTCTCCAACTTACTCTGTAATTGAATATAGGTAAAGTGGGGTGTTCAACTTCTTGGTTAGAAACCAAGTGCTATGTAACCTCCAAACAGCCCCCACATGCGTTTTTCAAGAGAAGTAATTAAGAATTCGTAATCAATGTTTTATTTATCCTCACATTTTTTTGTTTCCAATATTGAATCTTGAAAGAGCAGAAATAAAAACTTCAGCACTCTGACATGAATTCAGTTTATTTTGTAAGGTTCTTTTCAGTCGCTAACAAGGTCACTCGTCGAAAAAAATCATGGTATCTTCCATATCATTAGCAAAGTCATGGATATGTAGTACTGGATATCTATCAGCTATTGTTTGTTTGTTGAGAGCCTAAAAATCTCCACAAGGCTTGATTTCTCTGTTTTTTTTAGGACGCCCTAAGGGTTGCTAGATGGTTTTAAAATACCAAGTTTACTCTTCTTAATACTAGTGCGGTACTGACGATTCGTCTTTTGTCACTTACGGAAAGCATGACTCTTATTTCTGCCCCTGTATCTACTGAGAATTGTGTGTCTATCGTTCGACGTTGCATGTAAGATAAACGACTATTTCCAGAAGTTATTCCAGCTGACTCAGTCGTTACTGACGACCAGCGGGATCGTTTTTGTAGTTTTTACTTTAAACCTGCGAGATGGTCTACACTTTCCAGCTCCGTTGCCATACGTTTGATGATACCAGCATATTGAAGGAGCTAAGCGTCTCCTGGAGAGCGGTTGGTTTCTGGCACATGCTGTCGTGTTATATAGTTGAGGAATCGTTTGTTTGGTTTTCTTTTAAATCCAATGGGCTATTTTTTCTATATAGTCTACACCACCATCACTATCCCAAACCGTTAGGATCATATCTGTACATCCAGTGAAAGTATGCTGAGCCGCAACTGGTAAAATCAACTACTGTCTACTTTCTTATCCCTCATTAGGCTTTTCGTGTACTCATTAGTTGCTATAGTATTAGGGTTAGGGTCTGCTTTAATATCTGATACAGTTTAGCTAGATAACTTTCGTATGCTATCTGTCACATCGTTCGGCACCAATTAACTTGTATGGCCGAGTTTGTTTCGTTGTAAATGAATACGGTTAACCGAAAAATAGTTTCTAAATTTAATGAACCGAAGTTTTTGGTTAGTAATCCTAAAAGGCAAAATAGAAGGTTAAAGAAACTTCAAAGCTAGTCATTAACTGGGTCCAGTGCTTTCAGGTTTCTAATGTTGGTCTAACAATCATCGATTTATGATTTCACTGAGACTCAACAATCTTCACAAATCTATGATGAAAACTTAACTTCTTGTAAATAATTTTAATTTTAAAATGTTAAACTGTTGTAAGCGGCTGAAAAAAAGGACCTAATAAAAATAAACTGAATTTATGTCATAGTGCTTGCTCTTCAAGATAAAAGTTACACATTTTTTGAAGCCATGAATCGATCAGTGTTAGACCACCATTAGAAACCTGGAAGCACTGGACAGCCGTTTCGTCCTGGTATGGGACTCTTCAGCAGTGCGCATCCACGACTCCTGCACCTCGCAGGATTCGAACCCAGGACCTTCGGTATTGTGCGTGAACGCCCTGACCGTTAGACCACTGAGCCGATATCTAACTGTGTTAATGTCTAACTTGATCAAATTCACGGAGTTGCGCAACCTCATACAGTCTTCAGTAGACACTGCCTACACCCGTGAATTTGATCAAGTTAGACATTAACACCGTTAGGTATCGGCTCAGTGGTCTAACGGTCAGGGCGTTCACGCACAATACCGAAGGCCCTGGGTTCGAATCCTGCGAGGTGCAGGAGTCGTGGATGCGCACTGCTGAAGAGTCCCATACCAGGACGAAACGACCGTCCAGTGTTTCCAGGTTTCTAATGGTGGTCTAACATTGATCGATTCATGGTTTCAAAAATATAAATATATATATATATATATATATATATATATATAATCTTTTCATTTATACTTAATTTCAGTGCTCGGAATATAGGATGTTTCAATGCTCGCTGGCCAGACACATATCATCACTATCGTGAGTCGCATTTCACACAAATTAAACATCATTGGTTGTGGAAAGTAAGTCCCTTTGACATGTTCATCAAATGTTAAGTTGGAAACCTTAATTTATTGTTTTGTTTTTTTTATTTAAAATTTGGTTACACAAAATCTGTAGTAGTTTCTGTAATAAAGTTTGCATAGTTTTGCTTAATTTGATTTGAATTCTTCTAACAAAACCATTCATTGTTCATTGTGTTTTGTTGTGTTCTCGGTTCTCGTTGAATGATATCGATATTGTTGGAAAATTATGATAAATCTTCCTTGATTCATTCTTTTTTTTACAGTCCAAAATAATATTTAACAAAATATATTGACTATTAATAATAATTTAAGAATATTAAAGATTCTCATTGTGAAAATTAAAAGAACACACACATATAAGTGAACAATATTCATATGTATATTAAAGAGTAAAAAGCCTGATGACAATCTAATTGAAAACAATAATATTGTTCGCTTACATATTGTGTTGTTAATAATTTGTTTAGATCTTTTTCTACAAATCAATTGATTTTTTGTTGATATCCTTTTGCTAGTTGTTTTTTTTTTCTGGCATAAAAATAATACTTGCCGATTTTGAACATTTGTGAAATTGATTTCAGTCAGTCAGTCAGTCAGTCAGTTGCAACGTAGAACTTCGTACGTAGTAAGTACACATCAGTTCATGTCGACATACCACATCAGCAAAGAGACGCAAATGTCAGTTCAAATCCAATTGTAGAAGAGGTAGTATAGGTATTAGAAGTAATCCGAGAGGTTAGGATTAGAAGATATTATTCAAGAAGTATGATTTAATGAGATAAGTTTAGAAAGTCAAAACTAGAGTTGTTGAAGTATCCTGAAGATTAGGATTTGAGAGAACACAAAGCATAAATGCACCGGCGCCATTGCGAACGATTTTGAGCCATGTCATTCAAGGTCTCTAACCATCGATTATTATCATCTCGCGGACCCCAACCAGGTAGTCGACAATTACCGACATGGCTAAGTCCACTCGTCAATGACTTCATAGATTTCTGCCATGTTTTGGTTTGGCCGCCCCTAACTTTCTTCCAACCTATTCCTACACTACAAAACATAGCTCTTCGAGGCAGTCAGTGGTTAGGCATTCGTAACACATGTCCAAACCACCACAACTGGTGAAGTTTCACCACTTCATCTATTGATCTGCCATTCTTACCTAGCACCCGTGTCCTAATAACAGCGTTGCTCACTCGGGTGTCCCACCATATACGAGCAATGCTTCGAAGACATCGATGATCGAAAACCAATAACCGACGAATATCTTCTACTCTCATCAACCATGTTTCACAGCCATAAAGTAAGACGGAGCGAACCACTGCACAGTACACTCGTCCTTTAGTCAGCAAACGGATATCTCGCCTACGCCATAAGTGACGCAGGTTGGCCAAAGCCAATCGAGCCTTCTGTATCCGTGCTGAGATTTCGTCAGTCACCAGGCCATCGGCACTGATGAGACTCCCTAGATAAGTGAAATTGATTTAGGCTACTAGAATCATATCATTTGTTATTTTATTTTATTGAAATCATGAGCCGATCTAAGTGTTAGGATATTCATTTAATATTTATCCTAAGAGAATTATTGGTCAATTTTATGGTCATCCTAGCTATTAATGCCACGTACGCCAATGTTGTTTCTACTAATTTGTCATCCTGACTGTCAATGTCACAGACTTCGATGCTATTTCCTATTCAACCTAAATGTATAAATACGCATTATCTGTAACGTTTTATGACCTGGACCCGGATCCCTTGTCCGGGATCCTGATTCTCTTCTGGATTCGGACTTCCTACTCTTCTGGATGTTTGTAGAATACACGTTCTACTTCATAAAAAGTCTTCTTCCACTCAGTGGGGATTAGGTCACTCGGATTAGATAGCTGAGGATGATGATTTTATGTTATGAATGCAAGTGAATGCGTCAATTTAATATGCTTGAACTAGTACGAGTTTACTTTAGTCAGTTAACGAGAGCGAGGATCGATGGTTCGGCGACACGACAAGCTACTCTAATCCGATTGTCCCAAATCCCCATTAAATAGAAGAAGATTTGATATGAATTAGGACGCGTGTTCCACAAGCGTCCACAAAGTACGAGCGCCTAGTCCAGAACAGAATCAGGATCCCGAACTAGGAATCCAGGTCCGGATTATAAAACGTTATAGATAATGCATATTTATACATTTAGATCGAATAGGAAACAACATTGAAGTGCGGCGTGACATTGACAGTTAGGATGACCATAATATTGACCAGTAGGAATTGACCAATAGAATTAGACTTTCAATTAATAATTCTCTTACGATTATTGAATGAATATCCTAACCTTTTTAGAAGTATAGAAGTAAGCTAAAAGAAAGCAATGAACATTCAAATCATAATGTAAAAATCATTGACTTATAGATTTGACTCATGTTGGCAAATGTTGATTATTTACTGGTGTTTTGATGCACGTGATCATTTCAGTCAGTAGGTGCAAAATAAACGTTTTTGTTCGCTTAAACAAAATCATGCCTTGAAATTAATACATTCATATATATATATATATATATATATATATATATATAGAATTATTTGATCAATGTATAATCGAAAGATAGAAATTATCGCATCATACATATAGTGATCTATAAAACACATGTACACACATATACACTAATATGCATATTATCTAACTAACACGTGATTTATTGTGAATTATTATTATTATTTTTCATTTTGACAAATTGACTGTTAATCATGTCGAATGTATGTGTCTGTCGTTTTTTTCTTTTTGTAATCTACTTTAGATTGAATTTGTTATGAATCATTTTTATCCAACAAAATATTATAATGATTACTTTATCTTATTAGAAGAGGATCATTTTGTTGTGGAAGATATTTTACATGTATGTGGATTGATTAGTAAAACTGTCTGGAGGTAAGCTCCAAGAATTATTATGTATATATATATATATATATCTGTTAGGTTCGTCACTAGGTTATGCTTGAAACTATTACGAGTTCACCTAAGTCGATCAACGTGAACAAGACAAAGAACCAGCGTCCAAGTAGACTACCTTGATCCGAAAATGGCTAAAGAGAAATCTTGATTGAGCGTAGAAAGTATATTCTACAAACACCCAGCAATCACACAATACAATCAAGCATACAAATCTCGTTTATTTATACATCTTAGAAACGTCCTTGGAACAGTCTCAAAAAAAATAGCACACTAAAATGACACAGCGGCCAATCATAGCCATGGGTTTTCCAGGTGGGAAATGCGATCTCAAGGTCAAGTGATGAGCCTATGCTGGCAAACGTCAAATCCAAAATAAGGGCATTTATCCAAGCGAGTTCTAGGGATCTAACGTCCTCCAACATATCTGATTGGCTTCGATTGTTGATTATCCTAGTTTTACCGAAAGGACATAATCTAAGGCAATTTAATGCTTTAATTTTAATTCGACGCTCGTAAATAGCAAACTCCAGAAAACTAGATCGGTTTCAGATATATATGTATGCAAATGTATATAGACCAAATATTCACACTTTGGTAGGCTATGGAACATAGGCATACTTTTTAACTCCAAACAATAGTTGAATTCCTCAACATTAATGCAACATTCCACTGTTGATAGTGAGGTTCTCTGGCGGCAGTATTTGTCGTTAATAGGTTTATCAAAAAAATCTACCTTAACTTTCTAAAAGCCCTACTCGAATGCTACTGGTCGAATCAGAGCTTATGACGAATAGTCATCGAAATAGTGGTGTTCATCAGGGCTGTTCGCATCTAACAACTTTATTTAAATTTGTCAAAGATATCCTTTTGGAGATAATGCTCTCATCGTCTAACTTTTCGGGAGTTGATTTAAAATACGCAGTCAGTATAGTTCTTGGAGGTTAAGATGTTGACAAAACTCAGTTTTCTGACTGCCTTGCGCACTGACTCAAAAATGTTTTTCGATGCAGTTCTCTCCCTCAATATGTTTGTGCTTGAGACCGAGGGCCTAAATTGGATTACTGATTGTAGAACCACGAACGCTCACCACTGAGGAGTCTCATACTAAGACGATACGGCCTCATAATGCCTACAGGTTTTCAATGGCTGTCCAACCTAAATTGATTCATAATGTCACCTAATTTCAACAATATCCACAAGCACATGCTGATAAAACTATAAAAGTCAGCTGATTAGTAACTTAAGGATGTTCTTGAGATTCTTTTAGTAAGAAACTGTGACTGTTAGAGTTCAAACAAGTCGGGAGTAAAACACTTCACCAATGACATTGGATAATTGTCATATAAACCAATTGAAGCCTTAATTATATTGTCAATTTTCAGTCCCAATGGTTTAGGCGTGTATCGTTAGACATGTAGGTTTTAGATTTCTATCCTTAGTGTGTATTGTGTGTGTATGCTGAAGAACTATTAAATTGTCCATAGTTTTCAATGGTATCATAAATATGACCAATCTCTGATGAATACTACGTACTTATGTAGTGAACGAGAACACAGGTGGGGCAGCCGAGTTACTCAGTAAAATCGGAAACCATATCGTAAATCGTTCATTTGCAAAATATCAGTTCATCATATCGAACTGGACTGTTCCTGTTGCAAAACATCAATCCATTGTCACAATTCATGCGTTTCATACAAATTCCATCGTGTTCCGAACTCTTCCTTTCTTGATCTTCCCTCATCTTCTGCTGCCAGACATTACGTTGACACTCACGTCATATACTACTTATAAGTAGCTCGCATCACAGTAGTAGTAGTAGTACTAGTGTGGTGTGAGCTACTTATAAGTAGTATATGACGTGAGTGTCAACGTAATGTCTGGCAGCAGGAGATGGGAGAAGATTAAGAAAGAAAGAGTTAGAACACAATGGAATTTGTATGAAACGCATGAATAGTAATGACAATGGATTGATGTTTTGCAACAGGAACAGTCCAGTTCGATATGATGAACTGATATTTTGCAAATTAATGATTTACAATATGGTTTTCCTATTTTACTGAGTAACTCTGTAATTTTCGTTAGATACAATCCGGTTGCCCCACCTGTGTTCTCGTTCACTACACTACTACTACGTAGAGATCTGAATATCTTAACCAATACACATTACATTTTGTTTATAGGGGTGGGAAAAAATATAGTTTTAATTAATTGACAGCTACCATTGATTTATTTCATATTGATCAAATTCACAATTATTGTGACAGTGTTTTTGAACTGACACTGTCATTTTTATAATTTCTAGGAGAAAAGTAAATATATGCAACTAATCAAAGTTCTTTTTCACTTAGAATTATAGAGATTAGTGTTTGTTGCACATTGAAATCAACAACCAATCATTTTTAGACCACTATTAGAAATCTGGAAGCACTGACAGACGGCCGTTTCGTCCTTGTATAGGACTCACTAGTAGTGCGCATCCACGACTCTTGCACCTCGCATGATCCGGACCCAGGACCTTCGGTCTTGCGCACTAACACTTACCTCTGGACCACTGCGCCGGCATCCAAAAGTGTTCATGTGTAACTCTGTTTGATCTAGGGATTTTGCGCAACCTCACCCATTTATCTTTGGTAGTTACTGCCTACACCCGACAGGGTTGAACTCCACTGGTCACGTCTTTTCACTAGAACTCCGAGAATTTCATCACGAAGCTAGTCACTAGTGAGCACATTTTACGATATTTTCAATTAGAGTTATGGATATTAGTGTTTGTTGCACATTGTTATCATCAATCAATCATTGTTAGACCACCAATTGAAAACTGGAAGCACTGAAAGATGGCCGTTTCGTCCTGGTATAGGACTCATCAGCAGTGCGCATACGCTGTACTTAAACTTTATTTTCAAATGAATAATATTCATTCGAAACAACGAAATAAGGACACGATATCATATGGTTTGTTTGTAATAATCATTCACCAGATCCTTAGAAAAATGCGCTACACGGTAAGTATAAAAGGAAATGGTACAATGTGGTTATCTAAACTGAAGTTAGTGGACCGGGGTTCGTATGTGAGGCTGAGCGACTAACTGTTGAACACCATACCGTCGCTTCCATATTCTTATGTGTTTTTCTATCCGGTATATATTTTATTATCATCAATAAGTATTTCTGTCATGTTTGTATGTTATTTTATACAATAAGTAGAGAATTAGAATGGTTCATAAAATAATAATCGGCTTTATGTTATTTTGTTTACTTCCTACAGTCCTTTAAAAACGGATGGGATTATTGCACTTGGATCGTATGATAAAGATAACGAATATTCATCCAATACAGTAAGTAGGGTATATATTTTCAATGATTTGTTCTTCTTTCTGTGAAGATAATCATCACTAATCTAATAAGTTGATGTTTTGTTCTCGTAATGATATTAATCACTTTTTTTTATTGATTACTCTGGAATGGATGCTTAACATTTTATATTGCCTATTTATTTGTTTGAGACGAAATGATCAGTGGTAGTAGAAAAGACTAGGTACAAGTAATAGAATTTGAGAATAACCAATGAGTTTTTCAAATTGAAAAGTACACAGAAATTCTAAAACCCAAGAAGACAGAATGAATACATTTGCATCATTGAGCCTAAATAATTCTAAGGTATGTCTCTAAAACATCGTCTCTAACCACTGGTTAGAATGATTGCGCTAGCCTTAATTTATTAGTCTGCATTTACCAACGTGGTTCAGATCAGCAGACAGTGAATTCATGGACTGATTTTATGTTTTATTTTGGCTTCCCTTAGTTTTTTTCCGATTTCTACATTAGCCAGATTTACATGTAAAAACGTACGATATTTAAGTAGCAGATTCTTATGCTTATCATCTCTCGTTAAGCTTAGGTCACCGACTAGGATTCATCAACCGACTCAGTCTTGCATTCCCCTTCTCTCTTGTATCCGATCGCTATCCATTCTTTTCATGTCTATCTTCAATTCCCCGGACAATGTGTTCTTTTGTCTGCCTCTTTCCCTTTGACCTTATGGATTGCCTCGTGACGCAGTTGAGTGATGTCCCCATTGTCTGTCCTTTCCATTCCCAGCACTTTTTCTCTACTTCTTTCTCTACCGGAAGCTGGTTTGTTTTCGACCAGGGTAGGTTGTTACTAATGATGTCTGGCCAACAGATCCGGAGTGTCCTGCGCAGAGAGCTGTTAATGAATACCTGTATCTTATTGATGATGACTTTCGTGTATTGCATTTTCTTCACGACCAGAATACAGAAGCAACTCTCGTGAAACTAATATTTTTTTTCATCTTGCATCTATCTAATGGGTTTCACTTAGTCCGGGCACAGCCAGTTTTTATCGTTTCATTTCCCTAGCAACTTGAACAGTTCTTCCAATCTCCCACATTGTGCGAACATGATAATTGTTGTTCTGGTTGTCAGAAGAAGCATCGGCCTTGTGATTTGTGGAGAGACTCGACTTTCACTATGAGTTGTCATATCTGTTCTAAATGAAGAAGATCCTACAACTCACAGGGCAGAATTTCAATTGTTTGAATTATTTGTTCTAGTTAGAGTTGTTTTAGCAGGTTAATTTCATACGAGATGGAGTTGTTTTGCTCATGCTCAACCCTTCTCCTTAATTCGGCTTTTGGATCTTCAAAGTACTACAGACAGAGTTTCAGTAACCGTTGTGATATGTTTTTTTTTGTTTAAATCAGTTCATAACGATTTGAAAGATTTGTATCATATATAGAGGAAATGGGAAAATCTCTATATGCATAAGCGATAGCTTGTATGTAAACTGTTAGTATTTTTACTCATACTTGACGGGTTTGGAAGTATTAATGGTTTATAAAGAGGTCAGACTGCTAGAACTAGTGATTTGGAAATCAGCTTTTGATCAGTCAATTCATTTTAGTATATTTTTTTGTTTGATTACATAAAAGTCATCTAGTGCATTGCTTTGTGCCAACATGCGAACTCATCTGCAGCCACTTTGCTCCTCTACCGTTACTGTCTTTTCTGTTCATGAATGTAATTAGTACCATGAAATCTTTTCATGGTTAGGGTCCACGGGACGAAAGTCACCAATGGTTAGAGAACTTGAACGACATGGCTCAAAATCGTTTGCAATGGCGCAGGTGCAACCACTATTTGTGTTCTCTCTAATTTTAACCTTCTGAATTCCTCATGATTTCTATCTTTTTCCTTCTAAATTTATCTCACTGAATTATACTTTTCGAATCATATTTTCGCTCCCTAATCTTCTCCATTACTGCTAATACTTCTATTATCGCTATCACTCTTGGACTTGAACTGACAGTTGCGTCTCTGTGTTGATGTGGTATGGCAACATGAACTGATGTACTTATGTATGAAGTTCTGCGTTGTGTCTGTCTGTCTGTCTGTCTTTTCATAACAGTTGTAAAGATGTGCTCGTTTTCTCAACTAACTTGTTAATATTAATCGTGTAAGTTTTAATACACTCTTTCCGTAGTTGGCTTATATAAAGTTTATGTTGATGTGAAACTCAGTCAGTTAGTCAGTTGCAACGTAGAACTTCGTACGTATGTACATAAGTTCAGGTTGCCACACCACATTAGCACAGAGGCGAAAATGTCACTTCAAATCCCATAGTGATAGAGATAGTAGAGGTATTAATGGTAATGAAGAAGACTAGGGTTTGAAGATATTATTCAAGAAGTATAATTCAGTGAGATAAGGTTAGAAAGACAAAGATAGATGTGCTGACGAATTCAGAAGATTAGGATTTGAGAGAGCTCAACGAATGGATGCACTTGCGCAATTGCAAACGATTTTGAGCCATGTCGTTCAAGGTCTCTAACCATTGGTGACTTAAGTCTCGCGGACCCCAACCAGGTAGCTTACATCTGCCAACATGACTCAGTCCACTTGTCAGTGACTTCATGGATTTCTGCCATGTTTTGGTCTGGCCGCCCCTAACTTTCTTCCAACCTACTCCTACACCACAAAACATAGCTCGTTGCGGCAGTCCGTGGTTAGGCATGCATAATACATGTTTCAACCACCTCAACTGGTGAAATTTCAATGCTTCATCTATTGATTTGCCATCCTTACCTAGAACTCGTTTCCTAACGACAGCATTGCTTACTCGGTTGTCCCAGGATACACGAGCAATGCTTCGGAGACACCGATGATCGAATACTAGTAACCTACGAATGTCCTCTACTCTTAACGGCCATGTTTCGCATCCGTACAGTAGGATAGAGCGAACTGCTGCACAGTACACTCGTCCTTTGGTTAACAAGCAGGTATCTCGCCTACGCCATAAGTGACGTAAGTTGGCAAAAGCCATTCGAGCCTTCTGTATCCGAGCTGATATTTCTTCAGTCACCAGGTTATCAGCACTGATTAGACTCCCCAGATAAGTGAAGTGATCAACACGCTCGACTACTTCACTCCCTATCACAAGTTTACGTGCCGATGCAACCCAGTCTTAAAGCAACATTTTGCATTTCGAGGGGTAAAACCGCATCCCGAACATGCTTGCATTGTTGTGAAACTATCTATAGAGATGTTGAAAATGTTACGAATAAACCACCCAATTTTTTAAGCACACAACACTTCGAAAAACAAACTTTTCTTTTTTTCTTAGTCTCTAATTCTCTCTTATTGCAGTTAATGCAGGAATTTGTTCAGTTTCCAAAACAATCGTTTCACTTCAACTTTAGTTCTAAAATACAAACATCATCAGTGTTTTCTTTTTATCAACCTACTGTCTGTCGCATAAGTTGTGAATAGTTATTTTTTAGCGATTTTCTACCGAACTGAATAACTTCACTATGAATCGTTTTTTGTATATCACATTAAAGCACTTTTGTGAAGTTCTGAGAAATCACTGTCATCAAAACAATGTGGTTGGAGCTTTATTCTCATTATTTTTAAATGATCACTGATGGTATAGATGTCGTATTATTCACAGTACGAAACCGCTGTTGAATAATACTTTCAAGTATTGTCAACTACAACTACGTCTCGTTATATTCTAATAGGTTCCGTAATTATAAAAAAGTTTTTTATCCTTTAAAGTAAATATTTTTGTTATAATTTTTTTTTGATTCAATAACATCCATTTAGTACGTGATTTCTTGATTTTGGCTTGTCAAGTAATTTTTAATTCACTTTCTTTAATAAATAAATAAGTCAATCTGTGTCCCAACTGAAGCTGCTATCTTGACGCGTTGGTCGGGCTTGCCTATCGTGATGACCCAACCGAACTATATTGGCTGGAACTTATGTTCCTGAAGGTTCTATCATGCGAGGCAGGTAGATTGGAGAACGATGAGACTAAAAGCAGCTACCCAAGGTCTGAGGGCGAAGTCGTACTGCTGACTGCAGAGGGGTGTGACAGCAGTAAGGTGTTTCCCTCGGACAACCAGCATCTGCAGCGATGCCGCCTTCTCACAAGGAAGGAAGGGTTAGAAAAGGTCGACCCCAAAATGTCACACCTCACTCTACCTCACGGATTCCCATTTCCAGCGGTAAGGGTGCCCACTAAGATCTTTCAAGAGCGGAGCTAACACTCAAAAAACTTTTCATAAAAAGGCCGTGCGTGACCGGCCTCAAGCAGTTGTCCCTTGGGCTCTGCAGTCACGCTCCCAGGTCTCTAAGACCAACACTAATCTATCTTCCTTTTCAGGTCCCTCAAGAAACAACCTTCCACGGTCTGGGCAGCCGGGAAGTGACAACCGCCCTCATACCCGTAACAGCACACGAGACCGAACTGGTCAAAAATCAAATCCTCAATCTGTGCAACAAATTGTCACAACAACTATTAATACACTGAATTAGCATGGATATAACAAAATTCTAGTTATTGAATCTGTTATTGTTTGTTATTTATTACCTTGACTTAGGGAATGAATGAATACAGTAATAATGGTTTAACAATGATGCCCTACAGAAAATATTCACAAGATGTTTTAATCATATAATGTTCTATGGTGGTAATTAACTGAAGTCAGTACTGAAAAGTTCTTCTGCTGGCTTAAATGTAGCAGTAGTAGTGATGGTAGCTGTTGTTGTAGTATTAGTATTAGTAGGAGTAGAACTCCCCGAACATCCCTAACTCTGTTAACCTAAGAGCGATCACTCAATAGTTTGCTATTTAAGTGAGTAAGCAATGCTGTCGTTAGGAAACGGGTGCTAGGTAAGGATGGCAAATCAATAGATGAAGTATTGAAGCTTCATCAGTCGAGGTGTTTGGAACATACATGTGTTGCGTATGCCTAACCACCGACAACCTCGTTGAGTTATGTTTTGCGATGTAGGTATAGGTTGGAAGAAAGCTAGGGGCTGTCAAACAAAAACATGGCAGAAATCTATGAAATGACTGACAAGTGAACTGAGTCATGTTGTTAGGTGTTGACTACACCTGGTTAGGGTCCGCGAGATGATAATAATCGATGGTTAGAGACCTTGAATGATATGGCTCAAAATCGTTCGCAATGGCGCCGGTGCATTTATTCTTTGTGTTCTCTCAAATCCTAATCTTCTGGATTCTTCAACACCTCTAGTTTTGAATTTCTAAACTTTTCTCAATTAATCATACTTCTTGAATAAAATCTTCTAATCCTAACCTCTCCGATTACTTCTAATACCCTTACTAACTCTTCTACTGTTGGATTTGAATTGACAATTACATCTCTGTGCTGATGTGGTATGGCGACATGAACTGATGTACTTACGTACGAAGTCCTACGTTGCATCTAAATGACTGACTGACTGACTGATAGTTTGGAAGAAAGCTAGGGGCGGTCAAACAAAAACATGGCATAAATCCATGAAATGACTGACAAGTGAACTGAGTCATCTCACGGACCCCAACAAGGTAGGGTTTCCGTGAGATGATAGTAATCGACGGTTAGAGACTTTGATCGACATGGCTCAAAATCGTTTGCAATAGCTCAGGTGCATCCAGTCTTTGCGTTCGCTCAAATCCTAACCTTCCGAATTCCTTATAACATTTCTTCTCTCTTTTCAAGCTTATTTCACTAAATTCTACTTCTTGAATAAAATCTTGGAATTCTAAAATTTCCGATTACTGCTAATAAATATCTTTACTACCTTTACCTACCACTATGCGATTTAAAATTGACAATTACATCTCTGTGCTTATGTGGTATGACAACTTGAACTGATGTACGTACGTGCGAACGAAGTTCTACGTTGCTGTTGATTGATTTATTGCTATTTTTTTAAGTAAACTTTAAGGCACCCATCGAAAATAATTTTTCGTATATATCACATTCTTGCTTAATGATGAATTAGAACACTTGTTTTTTTCTTCTCATCTTGAATGTTTTTTCATTGAGAACAACAGATAGTAGTCACTGTATGTTGTTCATCATCGTCGTCGACTATTGTTGTTTGTTTGTTTATCGCAAGAATAATAAGTCTGATTTACTGATGTTTTTTTTAATTGATTATTCTAGATTCATTTAACTCATTGGATTTCATCGAAACACAATATGGGTATGGGTATATCTCGTGTTGTATGGAAAAATATTGAACAATGCTTAAAAGTAAATGAATTCTGGAAAATTATTATCGAGTTATACACTCGATAATTTATCATATTATATATTAAAAATTAAAAAAGTGATTTACATTTTAAAACCTAGTTTTGTGCAATAATGCTACTTATCACAAATTCTTTCTTTTGTTATATATTTTATGCTAAACATGATGTGTTTTTTTTTTCTCTACCATTGTAAGTTCACATTGTCTAGTTTTGATGACTAGTTAGTTGGACATTCGGTTTTTTTTTGTAGTAGTTTCATAGGGTTCACAAAAAATACAGTTGACGATGACATACTGTATGATCCAATCCGAGTATTGAATTATTTATTCACATTGATTATCTTACATAGTATCGTTGATGTTCTGTTAACTAAATGATAAGATGATAGTGAGTTAATAGTTGAGTAGTATAGTACTCAATGACTATTGGTTTAAAATGCAATTCTCACTTGTTCGCTCACTCGCTTGCTCGCTCGATAAAATCAGATAAGACCAGTATTCACCTGTATAACTGATAATTCGAACCTTTGCTATTGATAAAAAGTTGACGATAATAAGTATAAATATTTTTTAAAATAGTTGATTAGTCAACCTGTTTGTTTTTTTTTTAAAAAATCAAAATGTGTACTCTCAAATATAGTTAGCGCACTATTTATTGCTAATACTATATGAATTGTTTAAATTGTCTGTAATTGGTTCGTTGTTGTAATCTATTCAGTTGATGAGATATTGGTAGCATATACTCGGTTCTGATTGATTGTTGAGACTTACATTTTGACGTTGGGATATTATTTTAATGAAAATAATATCCCAAGTCGTCTTGATTGTTTTGTAATGAAAAATATAAAAAAAAACCCACATTGATTTTCTATTCGAGGGTTATATGATAGTAGTTGTTAATAAATATTACGATGAAAATTCTAATTCATTTTGTTGATCGCGTACAGATGGAACATATAGGAAGGATTTAATTGTGACCAATTTGGTCTCGTGTGCTGTTACGGGTATGAGGGCAGATGTCACTGCCCGGCTGCCCACACCGTGAATGGGTGTTTCTTGAGGAACGTGAAAGGGAAGGTAGATTAGTGCTGGTCTTAGAGACCTGGAAGCGTGTCTGCAGAGTCCAAGGGACAACTTCTTGAGGCCGGTCACGCACAGCCTTTTTATGGGTAGTATTTAGTGTTAGCTCCGTCCCTGTTTAAAAGGGCTTACCGCCGAAGACGGAAATCCGTTTGTTAGGGTGAGGTGTGACATTTTTAGGGTCGAACTTTTCTAACCCTTCCTTCCTTCCTTGTGAGAAGGAAGCATCGCTATAGATGCTGGTTGTACGAGGGAAACACCTTATCGCTGTCACACCTCTCTACATTCAGCAGTACGACTTTGCCCTCAGATCTTGAGTAGCTACTTTTAGTTTCATCGTTCTCCGATCGACCTGTCTGGCATAGTAGAACCCTCAGGAACATATTTTCCAGCTAATATAGCTCGGTTGGATAGGCAAGCCCGACCACCACGTCAAGGTAACAGCTACGGTCTTGTCAGATGGAACATAGTCTTTACAGTTATGTGGACTTCATTTTCTAATCATTGGAACAAGAAAAAATTGTTTAAAATTAATTTACACATTAGCTCTCCAAAAATTAAAAAGCTTAAGCATGTCACCTAAAAGAAAATAAAAGCAATTGGTAACAATTCATTGGTTTGAATGACTAATTTCTTGTTAATGTCAGCCAGAAACTGGTATATTTATCAACAAGAAGCTGGCTGACATTTGAATTCTTGTCTTTTACTATTGGAAAATGTCAGGGTGTAAGTATAAATATTTGGTAAGAAATGATTGGCCTTGAGGATAACCGGTAGTAACTTTCGGGAGGCTTCAGTCAGAGAAAGTAGCAAAGAACATTTATTTTGAGATTATTTTAGCGAAATAGTAATGTTTTTAATGTAAGTAGGAGGTGTTTTGTTACACCGATAGAAGAAGGTATCGACAATAAATGGAATTTTTTTAACGACTATCACAATCCGGAATTCGGTTATAAAGATTGGTTGCGTTATTTTACAATTTAAATAACATTGCAAATGTTTTTTATTCATAAATTGTTCATAAAGAAGCCCACATGGAAAAAAGTTTGTGTTATATATTATACGTAACCGAAAACAGTTATAAGACGGTTGTCAACCGAGCGTTACATCTCATTGAGATTAGGCGTTTGCACACGATACCGAAGTTCCTGGGTTCGATCCTTACATGTGGGCGTCTCGGATACACACTGCTGATGAGTCCCATACTAAGACGAAACGGCCGTCTAGTGCTTCCAAGTTTCTAATGGTGGTCCAGCAATGATTGTTTCATGATTTCAATGAAACTCAACAGTCTCCATAATTGTATAATGTAAATCAGTCATTAAGTGTTATGATAGCTGGTGAAAAAGAAAACAGTTTAAAATTTGTACAACATGTCAAAAGCTTATTTTCGATTATGACCGTTTAAAATTTTCTGTCATTGAACAATATATAATTATGATAATAAAAGTGATCTTTTTACCTAATAGTGTCTTTCAACCAGTTGCACTTGTGAACAGTATAGTTCAATTTATTAATCAGTAAAATCGTACGAAACCTTAATTCTCAACTTGTTGATATGCAGTTTTTCTCAAACGAAATTCATTACTTAACTAGTTAAATGTCATCAGTCAATCAATCAACAGCAACTTTTTGGATATCATTCCAAACTGCCTCCAGATCGGAATCACGTACATGGGGCCGCTTTATTATTTTTCAAGTTGTCCTTGAAATATATTCCTAATCTTGCTATCACTAAGCAGAAGCCTAAAAGGTTTCCTTGCAGCGTCTTTCTCTTACACCCAATAAGACGCAAATAAATACGTGCTCGCACTAAAGCATGACTGACTGACTGATATATATATATATATATATATATATATATATATATATATATATATATATATATATAGTTAGTTAGTTTGTTAGTTCATCGACTCCGCCGATTCACACTATAATATCAAGTAAAGTCGAATATCAATTACGCATCAATATAGAATTAGAAAATTAACACAAAATTAACAAAATGGTAGATAGAGTGTTTGCTACAGTATGATGATGTTGATAGGTCTATAAATCAATCAATCAATAAGAACTAGCGAAAAGCAACGTATACAATAGAAGTTAGTGTAGTGTAGTATAATCTCTCACCTGGTTACAGGGTTCAAGTAATTTACATTGAATTGATGATGATGATGATGCTTTCCATTTGTAAATAGTGTTTGTTTTTGGTGATAACTTCTTAGTTTTACTACTACTGTTACCACCTAATTGAAAATAGACAATCTTTTTTCAACTTGACCCTCTTCGACTTCTTTCTTTTAAAGAATAAGATGATCATTTAAAGGTCATGTAATTGTGAGATTAGAAAATTATGTTTTTTATTCATTGTTTTAACTGTTCATTGTTGAATTATATTTCGAAAAATTACCCTTTCTTCACAGTTCAGTTCAGTTCAGTATATTTATTTTTGTATTGAATTCTGTGGTAATTATTTGTCTCATATAAAAAAAATGGTTTATTGGAAGGAAGTTCAGTGCAACAGTATTTATTATCTGGGATAAAAATGAACGACACTATTTTACTACTTAACTGGGATGATCGTAGCAAGTGTTTGAATTTCTCTGTATAGGAATTTCATAAAATCATGTTGACTATCATTTACTTACTCAATAAGAATTATCTCAATATATATATATATATATATATTGCGTAACGCTGTTTCACGTTTATGCAAAACGTCTACCGTACTATTTATTATTGAATCAGAAATGACATATAGAGTGGAGGGTGGCTAAAGCATATATTGATGATATCAATGTGTAGAAACAATGAATGACTTAAAATTCTTAAACCAAATAAAAACTTACCTTTTAGTGAAAAACTTTCTATTTAACTCTTCGGCATGGTCATAGGATAGATAACAGCTATCAAGGTCCTTTTTTCTTTATCCTTGCTCAACATCTATCTGTTTAACAACACTACACTTGATCAGTAGATTTCTATATGTTAAGATATTCGTAGAATATTCTAAAAGAATTACTTGTAAGTCTAGTTCTATTGGTCAATTCCTCCTACAAGTCAATATGATGGTTGTCCCAACTACGAATGTCACAGACTTCAGAGTTGTTCTGTATGCGCCCTAACTGTATAAATACGCATTGTCTGTCACGTGTTATGACACGAACTCGGATCCCTAGTCCGGGATCCTGGACTCGGATCTCGTACGTGCTGAATGGTTGTAGAATACAGGTTCCACTTCATATCAAATCTTCTTCTTTTTACTCAATATGCGGGTTGGGACAATCGGATTAGAGAGTAGCATGCCATGTCACCGGGTCGTCGCTGTCGTTTTCTGACTAAAATAAACTCTTAATACCTGAAGCATATCAAAATGACGTGTTTACGTACATACGTAACACTATATACTTCTTATTTCCAGCATACATAATAAATAGTCAGTCAGTTAGTTGCAACGTAGAACTTCGTACGTATGTACATAAGTTCAGGTTGCCACACCACATTAACACAGAGACGCAAATGTCAAATCAAATCCCATAGTGATAAAGATAGTAGAGGTATTAATGGTAATGAAGAAGACTAGGGTTTGAAGATATTATTGAAGAAGTATAATTCAGTGAGATAAGGTTAGAAAGACAAAGGTAGAGGTGCTGACGAATTCCGAAGATTAGGATTTGAGAGGGCTCAACGAATCGATGCACTTGCGCAATTGCAAACGATTTTGAGCCATGTCGTTCAAGGTCTCTAATCGACTAAAAGCAGCTACTCAAGGTCTGAGGGAGAAGTCGTACTGCTGACTGACTGCAGAGGGGTGTGACAGCAATAAGGTGTTTCCTTCGGACAACCAGCATCTGCAGCGATGCCGCCTTCTCACAAGGAAGGAGGGGTTAGAAAAGGTCGACTCCAAAAAATGTAACACCTCACCTTACCTCACGGATTTCCGTCTCTGTTGGTAAGGATACCCACTAAGGGCTTTCAAGAGCGGAGCTAACACTCAAAAAACATCTCATAAAAAGACCGTGCGTAACCGGCCTCAAGCAGTTGTCCCTTGAACTCTGCGGTCACGTTCCCGGGTCTCTAAGACCAACACTAATCTATTTTCCTTTTCAGGTCCCTCAAGAAACAACCTTCCACGGTGTGGGCGGGCAGTCGGGAAGTGATAACCGCCCTCATACCCGTATCCAGCACACAAGACCAAATCGATTAAAATCATATCCTTCCCACACCCCCTAATAATACATAATAAATAAATGAAAACCCTACTAATTCATTATTGCACAATTTTCCATGAAGTCAAATACTACTATAGTTGTTCTCTATTGATATTTTAACATTTCAACAGTCCAGTTAATGATTTAATCCGTGTTTTTTTCTTTTCAAGACACGTACAACAGTTTTTTTTTTTTGCTTTTAAACTTAGACTTTAATGATTACTGAGCTGAAAAAAAAACAAACAATGGAACTTATTTCTGTGTTCATATTTCTTTTTTGTGTTTTGTCTAGTCATTCTGTGATTATGATGATTACAATTGGGATTGGAGTTTACAGTTTATTGGTGGAAAATGTTTATCAGACAAATTGAAAGTATTGACTCTACCTCTTGCTACACGTGTCTTTCATTTAGGTGAATGGTGAGTGAGGTTGTTAATGTGTTTTTTTTTTGTTAAAAAAAATGGTTCTCCGTCTAATTACTACATTCTTATACTCTATCACAACAACAACAACTGCAGTGAACGAGAACACAGGTGAGGCAACCGAATTGTACCTAACGAAACTTACAGAGTTACTCAGTAAAATTGGAAAACCATATCGCGTAAATCGTTAATTTGCAAAATATCAGTTCATCATATAGAACTGGACTGACTGTTCCTGTTGCAAAACATTAAATCCATTGTCACTATTCATGTGTTTCATACAAATTCCATTGTGTTCTAACTCTTCCTTTCTTGTTGATCTTCCCCCATCTTCTGCTGCCAGACATTACGTTGACACTCACGTCATATACTACTTATAAGTAGCTCACACCACACAACTACTACTACAAATCAATGTATATTAGCTTATATAGGCAGTTGTTAATTCGCTAACGAAGTAATTTGCACCAAATAATAATAATAATAATAATAATAATAATCTTTCAATATTATTTCTTAATGAATGAATGACGTCTACACTTCATTCATGATCCTCAACTAAGTTTCCCAGTTTTCTCAATAGAAGAACTGTAGGAATCTTAGTTACGCATGAACGTGAACTTGTCATTTTGATATGCTTCAACTATCAAGAGTTTACTTTGGTCGAAAAACGGGAACGAGGATCCGGTGACACGACATGCTATACTCTAATCCGATTGTCCCCCCCTCCGTTGGTTAAAAGAAGAAGACTTGATGTGAAGTGGAACCTGTATTCTACAAGCACTCAGAAAATATGTGATCCCAGTACAGAAGAGGGTAGAAAGTCCGGACTAGGGGGTCCGAGTCCGTGTCATCAAACGTTACAGATGTCGCGTATTTATACATTTAGGTCTAATAAGAAACAACATCGAAGTCTGTGACATTGACAGTTAACGTGACCAATAGGAAGAAACATTTGAAGTGACATTGATAGTCAGGACGACCAATAAGAACCTGGAAGCACTAGACGGACGTTATGGGACTCATCAGTGGCGGTGCGCATCCACGACTCCTGCACCACGCATGATTCGAACCCAGGACCTTCGATCTTGGTGGTCTAACTTTGATCGATTCATACCTTCAAATGTTTAACTTACCAATCTTCACAACCCCGTAATGCAATTACCTGTGCTCACTAGTAGTGACTAACTCCGTGAGGAATCTTCTCCGAGTTCTAGTGGCAAGTCGTAACCAGTGAAGTCGAAACAGTTCGAGTGTAGACAGTGACTACCAAAGGCAGTAGTGTATGAGGTTGCTCAACTCCGTGAATTGATCGAAGTTAGACATTAACACCGTTAGATATCGTCTCAAAGGGGCCCTAAGGTTAGGCGTTTGCGTGCAAAACCGAAGTTCCTGGGCTCTTTGTTTCTAGTTCAGTTTCCCGTATAACCCATGTTTTCTGATTGGTTGTTACTGTTTCTTAGTTTGTTAATTTTCTCTATGCTTAAATGTCATCTCTCCTATCTTGGTCACAAAAATCTGTACCAAATTTAGTTGTATTGAAATATCAAGTTCCTTGTACAACGTATTTTTTACTGCGTTAATCGTTGATGTGTTGTGAGTGAATTGCTATTGTCGAATTCAAGAGAATCGATTTGTAAAATATTAGGTTCCTACTAAATCCAAATCACGATACAACATTTTCATCTTAAGGACTTTAGTTGTCAATCAAATCATATGATGAAATAAATTGGTTGAACAGTACACCAGATTCGTAGAGATCAGTTAAACTTCGAGTAGATAGGGATGGCAAATCAGTAGATGAAGTAATGAAATTTCATCAGTTGAAGTGGTTGGGACATGTGTGTTACGAATGCCTAACCACCGACTGCCTCGACGAGCTGTTTTGTAGTGTAGGAGGAGTCGGTTGGGTGAAAGCTAAGGGCGGCCAAACCAAAACATGGCAGAAATTCATGAAGTCACTGATATGTAGGGTGAGTCATGTTGGTAGATGTAGGCTAGCTACCTGGTTGAGGTCCACGAGACGAAAGTCACCAATGGTTAGAGACCTTGAGAATGACATAGCTCAGAATCATTTGCAATGGCGCAGGTGCATCCACTATTTGTTCCCTTTAATTCTAACCTTCTCAATTCATCATAATCTCTATCTTTCTCCTTCTAAATTTATCTCACTGAATTTCACTTCTCGAATCATATATTCGAACCCTAATCTTTTCTATTACTGCTAATACCTGTACTGTCATTACCACTATGAGATTTGAACTAACAGTTACATCTCTGTGCTAATGTGTAGCAGTATAGCAATCTGAACTGATTTACCTACGTATCAAAGTTCTGCATTGTATTATCAGTCGGTCTATTAAAACTTCAAGTACTTATTTGATTGTACCACATTAATTGCATATTATTATTATTCTTTAAATCATACTTTATTTAGCCGTGGTATTCATCATCAACGAAATGCCTGTGATACACAATTGTTAGCCGCAAAAATTTTACAAATCTATAGTGGACCATTATTGACTAAACTATATCCTACATCTTTACAATTATCAGAACAATTATCTAGTATGAATAATCATAAACAAACCCCCAATGGTGGTTGGTCTGATAAACGTGATCGTAGTCTTTGTCAAAGTTTTTTATCTAATAAATGGGATGAACAATTAATTCATTGGGCACCGGAATTAACTAAATATTCACCAATTCACTAGAAAGATTCATTTTTATAAATTATCATTATAGTACTTGCTATTATTTTTTTCTGATTTTTTTTTTAAACTAACCCAGTTGATCTTTCATTATTTTTGTTACTGTCTTTTTTTGTTTTTTTTTTTAATAAAAAAAATAATAAATTTTTCGCTTATTAAAAAATAACTGCTGATATTGTTTTTTTCTCTCAAATGTATGTATATATACATGCATATATATTGTGAAATATCTTTTTTGAAGTTTTCTTGTACAAAAATGTGTATGCATAGAAATTTGGTGAATGCATTATTGAGATAAATAGTTTTTTTTTTTGTGTACGGTTATATGTTTCCTATATTTTTATATCATTATTATTATTATTATTGATAATGTTTTATTGAACGTGTATTTGAATTTCCTTTAATTAACAACTAACAAGATTTTTGTGATTTATTTTTCTAATAACTATGATTATCTTTCTAGTTTCTAACATCACTTAGTTAGTTAGTGATCTTTCAAATAAATTATATTTTTACCAGAGTTTTTTTTTCGCGCTTGTTTTATTTTGTATTGTGGTCGAAAATAAATAGTAGAGTAGTATCCAAAACAGTACTGGATTCGATTGGTGTAGTGAACAAAAAAAAACAACCTTGAGATGTGGGTACTACATCCAGGACGAAACACATATCCTAGATTCCATTCATTGCTTAGCCACGTTCTATCTTATTCTGTACAAATGATGTCATTTGCTTGAACACTGTCGATTTATTTTATTCAACGTCAATCTACAACTTTCCACGTTAATTCGAATTGTTAATTATAAGTAACGTAGAATGTAGCAGCATATGAGTGCATTCAAATAGATTGTCACATCATATAAACTAACAAATGGAGCAAAATTATTTTTTTAAAAAATGGATACACATTGGTAGATGTAGTATCCAGTAGAAGTAAAAAGAAATTCAGAATGAAGGAGTAGTATGATTTGCGAATCATCAATTTGCTGAAAGGTATTAAGTAATTTCGGAACTTAAGATCCCGAGAGAAGGTAGTCACTATTTTTATGAAGATGTATTCTTGAAAATGTACAGTTGACCTTGTTAGTTTTGAATATTCAAATAAGTCTGATTCTTCTTCTTCATCATAGGTTTAGACTCAAATATAGAGTTATTCAGTTAATTTCATTTACTTAATACTCTGAATCGATACAGCCTTGCTTTTTGATATCTGGGCTGCTTGTAGTCTTTTGAGTAATAAGTCGAATTTTAAAACAAAAAGTGTACGTCTAGACAATATTCTAGCATCCTAATACTTTATCTAAACAATGAATAACCACTGTAATAACAAATCGAGGCGCCGAATATTGTGTTTCTGATATTTACTTGTCAACTAACTACATACAGCTACGATAACATGAAGAGTGAAATCTACGAAAAATTTAGAACTCCACCTATACACAAACGAATAATTAAACACGTATTTTAAAGCCTTGACCTATTGTAGAGATGATAATAACTATTTGTCACGAACTTTGATAACGATTTGTTTCTAGTGTGAACCAGCACACACAAAAAGATATTAGTGACTACCAACTTATTGGTGGATACACAGACTGACTATATTACGCATTAACCTGTAGCAGCATCTCACCATTCACATTCACTGTACTTCATTGATTTGGCATTGAAATTATTTGATAATTGTATCGACCATAAATTTTGTATTTGTAATAATTCGATTACAGTATCGATTATTGTATATTTGATTGTGTGTGTGTGAATGTTTACTCGTTTATTACATGTCTAGCCTCTATTATCATAAATGAATGCATGAAATAAATTCATCCATAACACCGTATTTGGCTTCTTACTGCATCGCCGTTGCACATACATAAAAAAGAGAGTGAAGTTTATGAAGATTAGTTTCTGGATGTGCATTATTTCCACAAAATAAATATTAACGTTTGATTGTAAGTTTTGAAAAGTTTAAAGAAACTAAAACGAAAGCCAAATTCATTTCTTTGTTTTAATATTATAAAACAAGTCAAAATTGAATTATTGAACATTTGCAAATCTCTATATATGGAGTAGTGTTATCAATTGAACTATCTTTTTTATACATTTGAAATCATCAATCAATCATTGTTAGACCACCATTAGAAATCTGGAAGCACTGGATGGCCGTTTCGTCCTGGTATGGGACTCATCAGCAATGCGCATCCACGACTCCTGCACCTCGCAGGATTCGGACCCGGGTTAGGCGTTCGCGCACAATGCCAAAAATCCCGGGTTCGAATTCTGCGAGGTGCAGGAGTCGTGGATGCGCATTGCTGATGAGTCCCATACCAGGACGAAACGACCGTCTAGTGCTTCCAGGTTTCTAATGGTAGTCTAACAATGGTTGATTGAAGATTTCAAATGTGTAAAAACACAAATCTCCAAAAGTCTAACTGAAAATATCTTTTTTATCCCCAGCATAAGTGATACTATTCTGAAACTAGTGAATTCGCAAAACAAAAATTATTGACTTAGTTTGTCAACTAATCAAAGATAACATCAGAAATGCAGTTAGTCCGAGAATAGATTTTTACGAAGCAAAATTTTACGTGTCCTCAAAATAAGTACTGGGATTTAAGTTTCCAGTAATCACCTTAATCAGTTGTTCCAGTCTAAAATACTTATCACTTGAGATACTTAATTTATTTGACATATTTTCAACAAAAATTCACGTACATACTAGTTAATCGAGTAAAAATCCATGAAGTCACTGATAAGTGGACTGAGTCACTAATGGTTAGAGACCTTGAACGATATGGCTCAGAATCATTTGCAATGGCACAGATGTATCCACTCTTTGTGTTTTCTCTAATTCTAACTTTCTGAATTGCTAATCATCTCTTTCTTTCTCTTTATAACTTTATCTCAATGAATTATACTTCTTGAATCATATCTTCGCTCCGTAATCTTCTCCATTACTACTAATACTTCTGTTATTGCTATCACTCTTGGATTTGAATTGACAGTTGCGTCTCTATGTTGATATGGTATGGCAATCTGAACTGATGTGATGTACTTATGTTTCGAAGTTCTGCGTTGTATCTGTCTATCTGTCTGTCAAGTATAAATGTAATAATTCTTTAAGCTTTTATAGCACTCATCCTGAACCAATTGCTCAGGTTCATGTCTGCTCTTAGATTATTAATTACATAATTCGTATAATGTGCTTGATGATCAAGTTAGACATTATCACCGTTGGATACAGGCTCAGTGGTCTAACGGTTAGGACGTTCGCGCACAATACCGAAGGTCCTGGGTTCGAATCCTGCGAGGTGCAGCAGTCGTGGATGCGCACTGCCACTGATGAGTCCCATACCAGGACGAAACGGTCGTCGTCCAGTGCTTCCAGGTTTCTAATGGTGGTCTAATAACATTGATCGATTCATGGTTTCAAAAATGTGTAACTTAACTGCCAATCTTCACAACCCCGTAATGCAGATATTGTCTATCAGCTGACTGTTGTTCCAATCATCAACATAACACTGCCTAATTAAAATGATATATAAACAACACAACAACAATATGTCAAATGATCAACAACATAATCGAACATGTTATGAATAAGGAGGGCATTGGTTTTTTTTTATGTTTTAATACAATAGGAAGAAATTTTGAAGACCAGTGGTTTTTTTTTGTGATAGACATAGATAGATAGAAAAGCAGTTTGAATTATTGAACATTGATAAAAACAAAAAAAGTAATAATAATAATAAATATACAATAAATAACACACTAGTATAAAACTAGAAGAACACAAAATTTGGAATACTATCTATCTATCTATACTATCTATCTACCTTTCTCTCTCTTTCAATTTGTGAATGAGGACTATCAAAAAAAAAACAGGAATATAAAAAAAAAGAAAAACAAAACTATGTTCAATAATCAATAAAAATTTCAAATAAATATACTCGAAAAAAAAAGTATAAAGAAGCACACCAGCTGCTGTGGTTAGGAAAAACCAACAACAACAACCCAAATATGACTGACTGACTAGTAGTTAGTTCATGGAATATACATAGGGAGGATTGGAAAGAAATAGATTAGGCTAGTGAAGAACAAACAGTGCTGGAAGTATTATTGAGCATAGCAGATGATGATGAGGAGGATGATGTTGATGATGATGATGATGATGATAAACTCATAGATTTGATAAATTGTGTTGGAAGTGGTATTTTACAAGATGATTGTAATGAAATTTGTGAGTTTGGCGCATGAATTTCAGATGAAACAGTATTTATTATTATTGCATTAGGATTATGTTGTATATGTTGTTTATGTAGAGAAGATGTTGAGAAATTTCCTGGCTTAAATTTTAAAGACCAAAGTGAATGATTATTATTATTATTATTGCTCACTGAACATAGTTCAGATTTGTTGTCTACACTACTACTACTACTACTATGAGATAGATTACTACTACTATTGGTTGTGGTTGAAGGTTGAGATTCTGTAATTAAAGTAAATTCTGATTTTGATATTTCTTTTATTGTAAAATATAATTTAAATGGTTGTTGACGACGCCATGCATATAAACAAGCAAGATCTGATAGTGTATAATCTGAATTAAAAAGATCATCTACTGAAAAGAAAACAGAAACATCATGTTCACTAGGTTTTAAATTGAATTTCATTCGAATAAGTTTTTCAATATGTCCTACTGTAAGTTCAGGTGGACAAAGTAAAAATGTAGGCGGGATAACAGTCAATAAAGAATTGATTGAATCTGTTTGATTCAATGTTTTATTTGAACAACTATCATCAATCATCATTTTATTATTATGTTCATTGTGATTCCAGTATTGAAGTTCAATACTTAAACGATCTTCTTCTTGAAGAACATAAGTATTCAGTGTGATATCACCTCGTTTTTCAGGACTTAGCGATCGACTATGGAGTGAAGGATAGGCTGTAAAGTTAAAAAATTATAACAAAAATTCATTGTATCACACAGAACATAACATTTATCAACATTAATGAGTAATAATCCTTAATATAAGTAGCTAAATGCACATCCTATTCTAATTGTAAGTTTAGAACTTAGATTAACACCAATTGACAACTTCAGTGATCTTGATATACTTACTTATTGTTGAAAACTGTCTAATCTAGTTTACCAGAGAAAATCGAACATCAGAATGTGCACAAATATGCACAAATATATCAGGCATAATATCAGCCTGATGATATAAATGATACACTCACTATCTTAAGTCCCCATTTATAACGGCCTATCACTTCAATAGAACCATTTCCTCAGTGTTAACACACTTAACCAATGTTTTCAAAGGATAACTTTGAACGAATCGTTTTAACTTCACTTTGTAATTTATTTTACTTTTTACGATAGTACAACTAAACTGTCAATCAGTACACTTCGATGTAATTCGACGAGACACTAGTATCTTAGTTATAGTGTGGTGTGAGCTACTTATAAGTAGTATATGACGTGAGTGTCAACGTAATGTCTGGCAGCAGAAGATGAGAGAAGATCAAGAAAGGAAGAGTTAGAAAACAATGGAATTTGTATGAAACGCATGAATGGTGACAATGGATTGATGTTCTGAAACAGGAACAGTCCGGTTCGATATGATGAACTGATATTTTGCAAATGAACGATTTACGATATGGTTTTCCTATTTTACTGAGTAACTCTGTAATTTTCGTTAAACACAATTCGGTTGCCCCACCTGTGTTCTCGTTCACTACAATAGGAAGGTATGGTGTTTTTATCGGATCTTTTGTATCAGTTAACTGCACACACTTAAAAGATAAATCAGCTTAGTTAACAAATCCAACCCACCCAACCCGATTGGCTAGTTTGAGTGCATTAACACAACAAATCTAACATGTGTAAATAAATATTATGCATGTTGGATAGTTGTAGATTTTTCTTTAGTGTAAAAATCAGTTAGATTCCTTGGTGTATGATGGTATGTGAACACTAAAAAAGTTGAATAAATAAAAATCATTTCTGTTTGTTTGCATATGAATAATAAGTAATAATAATAATAATAATACTAAAATGAAATTATGCAAATCAAAACCCTGAGCTTTCGTCAATATGCACTGAAACCATAGTGATAATTCATACTAATTGTGTTCAGATCGAGAGATTTTAGTAAAATGATAACTAACTTGATGCTTTTACACTAAGCTAAGCACTTACACAAAGCCTACTTGGTCGATTGCGCAGTAGTTCGCTCCGTCTTACTTTATGGCTGTGAAACATGGCCAGTGAGAGTAGAAGATATTCGTAGGTTACTGGTTTTCGGTCATAAGTGTCTTCGAAGCATTTTTCGTATATCCTGGGACACCCGAGTGAGCAACGCTGTTATTAGGAAGTGAGTGCTAGGTAAGAATGGCAGATCAATAGATGAAGTGCTGAAACCTCATCAGTTGAGGTGGTTGGGACATGTGTTACGAATGCCTAACCACCGACTGCCTCGACGAGCTTTGTTTTGTAGGGTAGGAGTAGGTTGGAAGAAAGTTAGGGGCGGACAAACCAAAACATGGCAGAAATCCATGAAGTCATTGACGAGTGGACTTAGCTATGTCGGTAATTGTCGACTACCTGGTTGGGGTCCGCGAGATGATAATAATCGATGGTTAGAAACCTTGAATGACATGACTCACAATCGTTCGCAATGGCGCCGGTGTATTTATTCTTTGTGTTCTCTCAAATCCTAATCTTCTGGATTCTTCAACACCTCTAGTTTTGACTTTCTAAACTTTTCTCACTGAATCATACTTGAATAATATCTTGTAATCCTAACCTCTCCGGTTACTTCTAATACCTTTACTACCTCTTCTACTATTGGATTTGAATTGACATTTGCGTCTCTGTGCTGATGTGGTATGGCGACATGAACCGATGTACTTACGTACGAAGTTCTAAGTTGCATCTGACTGACTGACTGAATGAACTGGATCGATTGAATCTAACCACACTGTAGAGCATGTAATTTTTAAATCTTTCAGTTAATTAACAGATTTCATCTCGCTGTGTTAATGTGATATCGAAACTTCAACTGAAGCATGTTTATTTCAGGATTTTTTCAGTTGTGATTATGTCTGACTAACTGACTTAGCTAGTTTCCCAGACCATGAAAAATTATGTATTTTACAGTTAAAGTCGCGACTGGGTCAGTGTTACATAATCACACTGATTAAGAAATATTTTCTGAATATAGGTATCACCATAGTAGGTTTTTAACTTCAGACTTACGAGAAGTTTTATTCATTTTTATCAGAACTAAGCCGATAATAACATAAAGATGTGCAATTTTCAAAAACAGATCATCTTTATGTTGATCATTTTTACGACGGAAGCTCAATAACACTAGGAATTTCACAGTCACCTAAAGCGAATAGCTTGGTGGTGACATTTTATTAAAGTTAATAGTAAAACTTCACACTGAGAATTTTATCAGAGTACAGTTATGTGTAAAAAACTATCTGCTTTTGTTTTATAACTACTACAGTGATTGAGTTTTTTTTCACTCAGTCATACGGATTTGATCGTTGTAATTGCTAGTTCTAACTAACGCACTAACTAAGACAACATCTGTAAGTCAGTCAGTTGCAACGTAGAACGTCGTAAGTATGTACATAAGTTCAGGTTGCCATTTCGCCACATTAGCACAGAGATGCAAATGTCAAATCAAATCCCATAGTGATAGAGATAGTAGAGGTATTAATGGTAATGAAGAAGACTAGGGTTTGAAGATATTATTCAAGAAGTATAATTCAGTGAGATAAGGTTAGAAAGACAAAGATAGATGTGCTGACGAATTCAGAAGATTAGGATTTGAGAGAGCTCAACGAATTGATGCACTTGCGCAATTGCAAACGATTTTGAGTCATGTCATTCAAGGTCTTTAACCATTGGTGACTTTCGTCTCGTGGACCCCAACCAAGTAGCCTACATTCGCCAACATGACTCAGTCCACTTGTCAGTGACTTCATGGATTTCTGCCATGTTTTGGTTTGGCCGCCCTTAGCTTTCACCCAAACTACTCCTACACCACAAAACATAGCTCGTCGAGGCAGTCGGTGGTTAGGCATTCGTAACACATGTCCCAACCACCTCAAGAGAACATCTGTAAAATGAAATTAACAGAAACTAAACATTTGATTATTAATCAACAATTGAAAACTTATCGGAAGCACGTAAACAAAAGAACTTCAGACAGGAAAGCAGATCACTTAAGATTTTATAGTTGAAAACAACAGCGATAGAGTTCTCTCACTAGCCCTCACACCTAGAGTACGGTTCATATACAAGTATGAATTAGTTTATTCATTATGACGTTAATTAACACGTAACAGGTGTAGATTTTCTTTTTCTTGTCTCCAACTACACAAAATAGGTTTAGTCTATAATTTGTTTACTTGCAATGTACAAATTGACGTAGTTAGTGAGGTAAAGAGATATCTTACATATGAAATGTGCAAAACAGTCATAATTAAAGCATTTGAGATTTTAAAAAAGTTGGAGATTCAGGTTTCTTATTGCAGGTTTATCCCACTTGTGTACACATGTAGAAAACCCTGCACTAAAGAATACCCATACAGTACATACACCAACAAAGCTGAAATATTGAAATTTATTTTAGAATTCAATTAAAACTAAACAAATAAATACTCACCTTGATAAAATTTTCTTCTACATAACATTTCTTTTTCAAATAAATTCGGTATAAGCTTATAAACAATAGCTTGTAGTGCACGATCTGGGCGAATTGCACAATGTGGTTTGGTTTTATGCAAAAGTGTCTCACAAATTGGACATGTTGTGTTCAATTTGAGATAAGATAAAATACAACTACGACAAAATGAATGTAAACATTCAACAATTGTCGTAGCATCAATTAAATAGCCTCGACACAGACTACATGTTAAATATGGATTGAACACAATCACGGGTACATCTGAAACTCGATGCATTGCTGCTTTACTAAATCACTGTGAATCGTTAATCTGAAGTCATTAGATGCTTAAATAGTTAAGCATTGAATGAGAATTGGTTATTGATAGTTAAACGCCAATAGTTATAGTTTGATAGACAAATATATGGAAAAAAACATATCTAGAATATAGAGAGAAGAAAGTAGATTACAGTTCACAAAGTAAAATATTTCGTAAATATCAAAGATCTGTAACTTATTTTCAAGAAAAAATCAGTTTACTAAAATAAACAACACTTTTATTTCGAATAAAACACTCAGGATAATTTTATGAAAGGAAAATGATGCCAATCACACAAAGACTAAAACTAGTGGTTAAGTAGAAATTAATTTTACAAATCACGAATTTTCAACACAACAGAAGAAATATCAAGGTTATTTCGAAATAAAATGAATTCATTCTATTTCACTAATTTTTCAACCAGCTGCATACAACCCTAAAATTACAGTTATTAATATGATTATTAAGAAATGCTTTATGTATTATACATTGTTAAGATTAACGTGTATCTATTTTGTGGAAAGTATTAATAATAATAATAATAATAATAATAATAATAATAATAATAATAATAATAATAATAATAATAGGGAGAAACAGGTGTTATAATCAACATAAAAGAGGTTATGCAAGTAAAAATGTAAAAATAATGAAGTTAATAAGTGATTGGGTAATTGCTCAACATAATAAAATGAGCTAATATGAGGACATTAATGAAATTATGTGAGAGATGAATAATGGAAGACAAAAGAACAATAATATAAAAGTAAAGATTGAGGACAAGGTTATGGGAAAAAAAAGTATGAAACGTTAAAATTAATAAAGGCTATTAGATAAACATTCAGTTACCATGGCAGGATGAGTCTAGTGCTCAGCAGTTCGCTCCATCCTACTATATGGATGCGAAACATGGATGGTAAGAGTAGGGGACATTCGTAGGCTATTAGTATTCGATTATAGATATCTTTAAAGCATTACTCGTATACCCTGGGACAACCGAGTAAGCAATGCTATCGTTAGGAAACGAGTTCTAGGTAAGGATGGCAAATCAATAGATGAAGCATTGAAATTTCATCAGTTGAGGTGGTTGGGACAAGTGTTACGTATGCCAAACCACCGACTTCCTCGATGCGCTATGTTTTGTGGTGTAGGGGTAGGCTGAGAGAAAGCTAGGGGCGGCCAAACCAAAACATGGAAGGAGTCCATGAAGTCATTGACAAGTGAACTGAGTCATGTTGTCAGATGTAGGCTACTTCGTTGGGGTCTGCGAGACGAAAGTCACCGATGGTTAGAGACCTTGAATGACATGGCTCAAAATCGTTTGCAATGGCGCAGGTGCATCCACTCTTTGTGTTCTCTCAAATCCTAATCTTCTGGAATCCTCATAATCTCTATCTTTCTAACCTTATCTCACTAAATTATACTTTTCGAATCATATCTTCGAACCCTAATCTTCTCCATTACTGCTAATACCTCTACTATCGCGACCACTATTGGATTTGAACTGACAGTTACGTCTCTATGCTGATGCGGTATGGCAACCTGAACTAATGTACTCATGTGAGAAGTACTACGTTGTCACCGACTGGCTACCATGGCATGAAAAGGCTAATTACACTTCCTTTCTGAAACGCTTGACAATGATTGCTTCTGTTAAGCCATGTTTTTCTGCTCAAATCTTTGTTCTTGCTCTCTTCAAGATGATAAAGGGAATTATGTGTGTGAAATTTCATGGTAAAATTTGCTTTCTGTCTGTTCATTATATTACATACACTGCGTACACCCATTTCATGCACTCTGTCCCAGATGTGTTCGGAAATAGCACTTGCACCTATTCAACCATAGGTTTCTAAGAATGTGTTCAGAAGAGCTTGTAGAGGCTCTGATACTAAAGGTACATGCATATTCATAGATACAATTACAGGTGACAAAACACAGCTTTTTGAGGCAGTTGGTGGTTGAACATACGTAACACATGTCCCAACAACCTCAACTAATGAAGTTTCAATACTTCATTTATTGATCTGCCATCCTAGCAACATCATTGCTTACTCGGTGGTCCCAGGATATATGAGCAATGCTTTGAAGACACCTACAGTCGAAAACCAGTACCCTACAAATATCCTCTACTATGACTGGCCATGTTTCACACCCATCGAGTAGGACTGAGAGAACTGATACACAGTAGACACGTCCTCTGGTTAGCGAACTGATATCTCGCCGACAGCATAAGTGACGAAAGTTGACAAAAGCCTGTCGAGCCTTGTGTATCTGTGCTGAGATTTCGTCATTCACCAGGCCATCAGCACTGATAAGACTGCCAAGATAAGTCGGTTAGTACGCTCAACTACTTCACTCCTATCATTATTTTAGCAACACTTCACATTTCGACGGGGAGAACCGCATCTCGAACATGCCTGCATTGTTGCTGAAGGTGGTTAGGAAACTGCATTCTGTCAGCGTCCTCACCAAATTGAACTATGTCATCGGCATATTCTAAGTCAACTGGTGAATCTACCGTCAAAAGTTCAAGTCATGAAAAGCCAGACGATGAAAGTATCGTCTCTAAAAGTATGTCAACGACGAAGCTGAACAAGAATGGAGAGAGTGGACAACCCTGACGGACACAATCTGAGGTAACCAATTTAGACATTATATTAGTTAAACTGATTACTATGTGATTATCACAAGAGGACTTTTTTCATTTCTTATAAATTGGGACAATAAGGGATTGAGACCAATCAGATGCGATTACTGCCAGTTGCCAAGTTCTACCCAAGATCTCAGTCAATCTAACTGCTAAAACTGGACCACCATCTTTAAACATATCCCTTGCTTCAGATTTCTTGTAGCTTTCTCAACTTCATATAGATTAGGAAAACTTACATCGATTTGCCATTCAGGTTGGCTGCAGATCGCCGGTAACCGAAGTGTGTCCGAAGGCCAGGTGAAATGATCCCTAAAGTGTTCTGCCCACTGATCCAGTGTCCTGAATTGAGAATGAATAATATGCCCATACTTTTCCACTATAGTCTCGCTAATAGTTGGATTACTAATACCGGTTTCTTTGATAAGTCGGAACAACTGTCTGTTGTAACCTATCGCCACTGCCTTTTTCATCATCCTCCTTTCGCTACCCACCACTGTTTGCGGTCATTGCGTAGACTTTTTATCAGCCTGAGCTTAAGCTGATTTTAATCTTCATCATGTTCAGAGAGAGGAGGGATGAGTTTCAGAGCGTCTATCAGTTCGGTGGATGTTACTGAGATCCACGGCTTATCCCTAACCTTATGGTTTACCTTACTAGCAGATATTACTGCTGTGTTCCACAGCTTTTTGGATATCGTCCCAAGCTGTTTCAGGGTGGGCATCACTTACTACATGGCTGCCTAGCCGTTTTTCTAATTGTTCAGGGAATATATTCTTGCTATGTTGCCATTAAGTAGAACCCTAAGATGTTTCTTTGCGGTGTCTTTCCAACGTCCAGTAAGTCGCAAGCAAATACGTGCTCGCACTAGAGCATGATCTGAATCTAAACATGTGCCGCAGAACGAGCGACAATCTTCTGTTAAACCCCTCCACCGATAGCTGATAGCGATGTGATCTAGTTGGGTCGGCTTCAGGGGTCGCCAGGTCAAGAGATGTTTTTCCTTATGCTGAAAGTTAGTGCTTACTAGAAATAGGCGGCTATCTGAGCATAGCTGTAACAGACGGTTGCAGTTATCTATTTGATCAGCGGCGACGTCGTAAGATCCACACAGGTGTCTTTCAGTATCGCTTAGTCTATCTACTTGAGCACTCAAGTCACCAGCCACTATTACTACATCAGAGCGCCTAACTTTTTGAAGGAAGTCCGGAAGTTTGCTATAATCCCCATCTTTTACCTCACCTGAGCTACAGTCAGTGGGAGCGTAGGCAGAGACAACGAAGAGGGATCCAGACTAGGAAAGCTAGTCCTGCCCTAGGACTCAATGCGCGGTCCCGGAAAGCAACAACAACAAAAAAACACGGAGCGTAAGACGAGCTGCTTTTTTATCTGGAAAAGGTGAAGTCAGATTAATCACTGTACTCGGATCTTGTATGCACATTTCGGAGACGCAGCATACAGATTCTAAAGTCCTATCTAAGGAAGCATGTTTTTCTTGTCGATACAATGTCAGGTCACTAAAATCTCCAATAGGTAGTTCAGAACTGGGTTTTAGGAGACCGGTAATAACGTTTCATGAACTCAAATCGTTTGCAATAGCGGTGGCAGGTGATAAAGGAATGTTAAAAGGGTTAGTCGTGGCGATAAGAGAGATGTCAGGGAGTGTATGAAGGATTTAATTGTGACCAATTTGGTCTCGTGTGCTGTTACGGGTATGAGGGTAGATGTCACTTCTCGGCTGCCCACACCGTGGAAAGGTGTTTCTTGAGAAACGCGTTGGTCGTAGAGGCCTGGAAGTGCGACCACAGAGCCGAAGGGATAACTGCTTGAGGCTGGTCACGCACGGCCTTTTTCGACAAAATAGTGATATCCGATACAGTATCCAACAGTAACCGAACTCACTGACCATTGATTGAGAGGGTCAAAAATTTAGGATGAAGCGAACTGTTATCGATGACTAAACTTATTTATTGAATGCGCACAAAATTTGGAACAAGTGAGCACCAAAAACGGAATGCTCTACACAAAATATTAAAAAGTTGTGATGAAAAGGAAGGAATAAAGTTTAGGAGAATGAATAGAACGTCGATAAATAAATACAAAAGGACACGAATAATATGTAATGGGAGGTATAGTTCAGTTAGTAATAAAACCGAGAAAAATGTTTCTCCAGTTAAGTGGGTTTCATTTAGTTTTGTGAAGAATGTAAAAGGTAGCTACAGCAGAAACGATTAACAACTTTCCCTAGCCGTCTGAACGTTTTAAGCCATGACGTCGCACCGTTTCCAGGATTACTACCAAGAAGCCTAAGTGGGTCAACAGGAGCCAATCC